CTCAACACGATAACTCAAAAACCGCTAAACCGATTTTAACCAAATTTGGCACAAAAATACTGTGGCACCCGAGAATCTGGCCATTAGTTTTTGGTAACTATCGGAAACAAGAAATAGCCATCTTATCTGATAGTCAAGCAGCGTTAAAGACGATCAACTCAGTATCAATCAATTCGAAATTGGTCAAAGAATGCATAGAGAAGCTGAATAAATTAGGCAAAGAAAACAAAGTCCTCCTACACTGGGTGCCTGCTCACCAAGGGATAGAAGGCAATGAAAAAGCAAATAATCTAGCTAGGAAAGGAGCGAACACTCCACTAACTGGACCAGAACCGTTCTGCTTTCCAAGTGGTAACCAACTCAAGGCGGAACACAAGAACTTGGAAGATTCCATCCGCAACCCGGAATGGAAATCTTGCAATGGTCTAAGACACTCGAAGAAGTTTCTGAGGGCTTATGATCAAGAAAAATCACAGATCTTCCTGGGTCTGAGTAAGAACAATCTTCGGATTGTCACGGGGTTTTTAACAGGACACTGTCTCCTCAATGAACACCTCAGTAGATTGAAACTAAGAAGAAACGGCGAATGCAGATTCTGTGGGGGAAGATGGGGAAACACCAGTACACCTCATCACTGAGTGCGCCGAGACGACAACCATTCGTGCCATGAATTTTGGTACGACTGATATTGGAGATGGAGAACTACCCTCTATAAAACCGTCCCAGATACTGGCTTTTGTCAAAGCCCTGGGACTGTATGATGAGTTATGATTCAAGAAAGGGGGACACAATGGATCTGTAAGGTCGAAGTGATTAACCCCCCTCCCACTCATTCTAAATTCTAAAAATTCTAGTTTTTGGTGGGGGTGGGGGGTTGGTAAGGGGGTATGGGAGGGGGTTAAAAATTTTAAAAAATCGTAACTCCAAAATTACAGTAGCTAGCGAAACGCTCGCTGTTTTCAATTTAAGATTAGGAATAATATTTGCAACAAAATTTGTAATAACATCAAAATCAGTCAAAGGCGCAGTTTTTGAGATATTTCGTGTTTCCGTAGTCCGTTTTTTGAGAAAATCCGTGTGGAGACCTCCAAACTCCCATCGGACGCGACCCCTGGCGGATAGGGAAAATAACCACGGACCAAAATCGGAAAAATTCCTTTACTTTGAAACTAAAAGAACTGCCTACCAACTTTTTATTAACATATTTTAGTATGGGCGGCTATACGTGCCTCCCGGTGCCAATTTTTTTTGTTAGCATAGTTTCTGCGGTCGAAATATACTACCCCTAATAATATTTGCATTTATTTAAGACTCACCCTGTATAAATAATTAATACGTAGAAATTTTTTTTAATATATTAACTCACGTTTATAGAGTACACTTCTCATAATAATAGAAAAAACAAATTATGTTTTCTTAATTGGATTTCAGATAAAAAAAATGCGCGACGTGAATGACAAATTTGTATTTAAATTGTATCTAAAAAAATCTACGTGTTTAAAATTATAACGTGTCAATCTGGCGAAATACGTGCCCGTATGTGGTATTATTAAAATACGGAAATATTATTTTCATATTATTTTACATTACATATGTATTAACATAATAATATGGTAAAGAATAATATCTAATAACATATAAAATTCTCGTGTCACAATTTTTGTTACCGTACTCCTCCGAAACGGCTTGACCGATTTTGATGAAATTTTATATGTATATTCAGTAGGTCTAAGAATAGGTTGTTCTCTATTTTTATACCCCTAAGTGACAAGGGTGGTCCACCCCAATTTTTTTTATTTTTTGAACAAAATTTTTTATTTTTTTTTTTGATGTGACATTAAAAAATACATACAACCCTAAATTTTCACCCTTCTACCATCAACCCCTATTTTTTAATAGCGATATTAGCAATTCAATAATTTTTAGCCCCATGAATAAAAATATTTATACATATGTATGGCAAAACAACAATTCCCGGGCCAGCTAGTATTGTTATAAAACTAAACATATTTTTAATACGATGCATAGAACACAGACTACAGAACACATTTATATCCACTGTCTAGGTTTTTTTTTTCGTATAGCTAAAAAATCCTTTCCATACAAAATTTTAAAAGTCGAAACAAGAAAAAATAACGCTATAAGAACTATAGTTTTAAAAGATTTACAAGATTTTTTAGCAAAATTTGTCACCGTTTTTTAGATGTAATCTCTCACATCATTTTAATTACACCACCTTGTATATTAATTTTTCCTTCCATTTGAAGATCGATTAAGAAGAATCTTTGAACTGTATTATTAAAATAGAAAATACAAGTCAGTCGTTAGCTTGTCACTCTGGTAGAGAACAATTATTATAGTATTTAACATTAATCTTAAACAGTGGAAGATTTTTACAATTCAAGATAAGAGGAAAGCACTGAGTAAATTGTAGAAAAGTCTAATAAAACTAGACAAATTAACGGATTACATATAATTTCGGTGACGTATGTATGTATATTAAAAGATAAGTCAGTGTTTGTCCAGCTATACAAAATCATCGATTATTTCAAAAAATTTAATCAAAATAACTCTCAAGCCAAAACCGGAGGGAGGTCCATTGGCGTAGGTATGGGATCATAGAAATCAAACAATATAAATATTTGAGTAAAATAAATGTAAAATTTGAGTCGTTAAGGTATGTTATTTAAGAAATTATTGTTCTTAAATTGATCAATTAACAATTTGGTAGTAGAACATAGTCTACAAAAGCTACTACAATGATCCGAGTCAATTAAAAATCTTTTTAACCTTATGCTACGCGACGCTACTGATCTTTGCAGAGCGGAGAATGTAATTTCTTAAATACATCTACTACTGATTATCCACAAACAAAACAAATTTAGATAACCTTTAGCGCAATGGTGAAAAAAATGTTGAAAACAAATTTTGGGTGTGTTTTACTTGAATAAGTATCGATTAAAACATGCCTGTAATAATAATGCCACTGATTTTAAAATTATTATCCTAATGACAGAATTTTAATTAAAGTCAATTTTTATTTTCACGAGATTTGTATGACTTTATATCATATTATATTATATATATTTTCTGATTTCTAACAATTTTTTTTGATAATTTCCGCTAAAACTCTACATAATTTTAATTTTAGTGATAATAACCACTTGACTATGAAGATTAATACAGACATGAATAACGTACCTATGTCTAAAGAATATTGTTATAGCTATTTATGTAACTAGTACCTAAAATGATGTTTTTTAGGACGAATCATTACTGTTTGCGGACGAGGCGTTAGCCGAGTCCGAAATAGTAGATGAGTCCTAAAAAACATAATTTAGGTACGTGTTACATACACTATTTTTTGTCATACGCTTTTTACAGTTTTTTAGAACGCATATTTGCAAATTTTCCATATTTGAAATTATAATGTTTGAAAAAGTTGGCTTATAAATTCATATCTTAGTAACGAGTTTGTTTATTTCATCGCATTTTGACATGTCATTCGAAATTTGTCACAAAATCACACAAATTCATCAACAATTTAGACATTTTAGTCCATAAAGGTTGCCATGACGACCTTTACGGCCTAGGCCGAAAAAGAAACATTTTACGGACTGAAATGAGTCCGTAAAATAGCTGTTTTTGGGAGCGTATGACAAAAAAATTATTTTGTATTGATGTATTTTGGAAAACACAAAAAACAGAAAATGTTTATAGTATAGTAGTCTTTTATAAACTATTTATACACTGCTGCACTTGTATATGTATAAAACTATTTTGGCTCTGTTGGCGTATGAACAATATTTCTGATGCGGGGTCAAAATCTAACTTAATTTTAGTCTGGATTCCGATTTGTATTTAAGCCTAAAAATAAATTTACCTTGTATTATGATTAAAAATTTTAAATGACCATCCAAAATATAGAGAAAATGTTTTCTTGGTTGAAATTTTTACAGTAAAATACACTGATAAAATAAAAAATGGAATATCTTAAAAAACATATATCTCATTTTACACAAGACCTACCACACGGAAAACTGAAATAGGTATATCTTCCCATAAATTATTATTGATAACAACGCTGTAAAAGTTGTCTCCTATAGGTATAAACATATTATGAAAAATTTCCTGCCTTTGATTAAATTGTAGCACTACAAGTCAATAATTAATTGTTAAAAATAGTAGGGAAGAAAATCGTAAACAATAATTAAGTTATTCCCAACTAAGATGTAAACAAAATCTTACTGCACATACTAGATAATGTTTATCATGTGTTTTTAATCAGAGTTTATTCCATTTTATGAGAGTACAAACAAATCTGTTAACATAGTCAAGATACAAACAAAGTTTATACACGTATATACCTTTTCTTAAAATAATTCAAGCAAAAATTGATTCATATTTTATACTTTTATACTTTTTACACTGATTTAATATCATTATTTCTTGTTCAATAATACTAATACAGGACATGCAATAGAACCAATACTTTCAGCAAATGAATATTATGTGTTTTGTTGTTTACTCTGTAAAACCAAAGGAAAAAACCATGTTAATATAAATGCGGTCTTCTAAGCTAGATACTTTGATTAAAAAATACATATTTTTTACTACTGAACAATGAGCTAAGCCCAGAAAACATCATCTAGTTGTTCATGAAGCAAATAAGGCATTGATGATAGTTCAAAGTGATCTTTCAATAGCTTTTAGCTAATGTATATTTCCACCTTTCTTTTCTAAGATAAAACTACTCTATTCTATTATAATTTTAATACTGAACAATGTATAATTGTTTTTTTATATGTTAGATTAAGATAAAAGGTCAAAACTCACTTTATACAATGCTATTTAGTCACTAATTGAAATGATAAACATGTATAAATAAACAAAATCTAAAAATAATGGTAAATATGTTTACTGTGGACACAGGTAATCTGCTGTTAGCTCAGTTTAAAAGAATCATGCTGGTGTTTAACTAAAAAAGACAAATTACTTACCGATAAGCCAGAGACATGCATTGAAATAATTTGGACAGGCTCGTATCAATAGCCACTTGTTGTGGATTCTTCTTGGCAGTTATACAATCCAAAGGTCCCTGTATGTAAGGCTTAACTGGAACGATAGCCTTGTTATCGATAACTTCTGGAATAGGAACAGCAACATTGTCCTCGTCGTCCTGCTCCTCGGCCTCGAACTGAGACACCATAAACTGTCCAGAATGTATGGATTCTCGCCCCGGTTTGTCCAGCCCCTTGTACTGTATCAAATACGCCATAATTTCTTGTTTTGTTGACGAATTACTGCGACATTTCGAGATTAACCATTTCACTTTAACAAACGGCGCACACTTCGACTGCTAACAATAATAACTGGAGATGTTATGTTATCGCTTTGAAGAAGATCAAGGACTGATAAAGAGGTCACATCAGCCTTACACAAAATTGTTATTTTTCCATAAATAACTCTTATTACGAACTAGAGAACCAGAAATAACGACGTAGGATTCCGTCTTCCTTCCTCTCTCTCTTCACATATAATGACGCATGACGCTACTGACACACGTCAGTTATTGTCAAACTAATTTTAGAGATATCTGTGGAGATATGAAAGATAGGTATATCTGGTTGCCATACAGTTTTCTTTTTCATAAAATTCCCTTTATACTTTTTATAAACTTATTAGAGAACCTTGTAATTATATCAATAATAAATCAGTTGATTAAAATGAGATAATATACAGCCTTCTAACAATTTACTTTATTTTTAATTGTATTATTTGACAATCAAATACTGGCGACATCTAAAAGTATAAATCTGTACCCTTATCAGTACTTCATGATCATGAATCGCAGATGTCACTACCAGAAATGTCAACAAAATTTGAAAATGACGTAAAAATGGCAAATTAATTAACAAAATATTAAAAATAAAGTTAAAAATGAAATAAAGAAAAAATACAGAAAAATTATGCCTCCAGAAAGTCCTAAAAAGTATACCGAAACTAAACAAACGAGGGAAAGCTCGTTTTGGAATTATCTCTACTGTATACCTATAGTGATTCCTTTTTGTATACCAATAAGAAGAAAGATGAAATAAAACTACAAGATGCAGGTGTATATATCAATATCTCATAATTTCGAAATATACAGATAAGGATAATTTCTGTCAACTCAAAATATCTCATAAAAATATAATAAATAACTAACAAAACTTATATAAGTTCATTTGTTAAGTTAAAATAATTTGGGGGAAGCTATAGCTATAGTTCTTCTCACATAATTTGTCCCACTATAGCAACACATAAATCTATAGAAAAAATAAATATGAACGTTAAATCTAGGCAAATATTTCTGTAAACACAAATATAATGATATAAATAAAAACAGAGTACACAATTAATTAATAAATAATAATAATTTTAATTATTTGATTAATCTATATTTGAATTGTTATTTTAAATATCGCTGTTATAGAGTTACTATGCACTAAGCTACGTGAGAAGAACTATAGTTTAAAGTTTTTGTATATAAAAAATGTAATTATTGATTTCTTGAACTTGATTACAATATATTAATTTCAGGCTATATAACAGGAGAGTAATGTTTACAAGAGCTGCCAATCCTTTTTAAGAATTTTAATATAAAAATATTTATAACATGTGCATCAAATATATATAATTTTTTCAAATAAACGTTCATAATATACAATAATTCGAATACAAATACAACTGTGCTTAAACTAATATACAAAAATAAATACGCATCTCAAACAGTAACAAAAATATAAATAAAAATGGCACTAATCTATCTAAAAATTGTATCACCTAATATGAAGATCGGAAATGTTGGATCTGTTTGACTTAGAATGTAGTTTATGAAGTAAATGACTGATATCCTTTTCCGGGAATAGTGTACACAAAACGCCTTCCAGCAAGACATAGAGAAGTCTACGATTGAGTACAGGCCTTTGAAACAGTTCAAAAATGGTCAATAAACCTCTTCGAGTAGTCTCGGAACCTATAATATGCTTTAGCTCGTCCGAGAGGCATGATAATAAGGCAACCTTTGCAGCTATTCTTGTTCTACTTTTAGTGTCATGAGCTCTTTCGAATTTCTTATCGTTTCTCACACCATTTGGCCAAAATGACTGCCTAAAAGTCCAAAAATTTACTAAAAATAATTTAAAACATTATTTTACTCACTTAAAAACATGGAGGTAATGTGCGACATTCTTAGGACTAGTCATATAAGAAACAAAATCTAATATTCGCCTATTAACGATATCACCAAACATAGTTCTCACAATTTGTCTTAGTAGCGTCACAATTCTTCGTCTCAACCACTGGTTTCTGGATTTTAAATCAAACACTTCGTCCATCAAAAGTAGTATTATTCTCAAAGGAATGTTATCATCACTCTGAAAGATACATTGTGGTCCACATTTAAATAGCAAAACTTCAACAGTGGATATAAAGAAAAATTAATATCAACTTTGTCATATGAATAAAAGGTTTTTCAAGCCATTAGATTTCAAATTAAAAATTATGGCACTAAAAGCCGCTAGCTGGCGAACAGACAGATCCGATAAGAGCTGCCAATTTTAAGCCAAGCCAACATTATGGCGCCCCACGTTGGGCACCATAATGTGGCTTAGCATTTATTTTACCACGTTTATTTACTAAAATTTTCAGAAAAAATTAAAGAGAAATAACCAAATTTTTAACTTTATTTCTGCAAAGAAAGTTAAAATATATACATATATGTAAAAGATACACTGTATTACCTCTTCTATAGAAGCTCCAACTTTGCTAGTCTCAGGCAATTTTCCACCTTTAGTATGGAATACTTTTGACAAACCTTCCACCACTTCATCCACAGTGTTTATTAAGTGTTCTGGCATATTTTTAATAGTTTTCATGCCAAATTTTATAGGCATAACCAGGGTATTAATCTGTAAAAAAAATAAGTTTACTTTGTTAAGATTATTATTATATATTTTTCGCTATTCCTGAGCCCTTATTTTCCCCTTTTAGGTGACAACTTTTTAAACAAAGTCCGATAAGAAATGATTCTCCTTAGTTCAGGCCTATAGGAAAATAAAAATATATTATAACTGAACAAACCGTTGTAGAAATAGGTCCCCCCGCTGCCCTATCATAATCCCCCTGCTCCACAAACGACATTAGAAGATCCCTGAGTCCGTGGTGAGTGTTGACAACCTTAGTTTGGCACAATTCACCCATATAGTAACCTAACATTTTCATCCGCCTTTCTAACACGGTCCTGTCCATGTTGTGGAATGTTTTTTTGCCAGGGAAGGCTATTTTTGACAAGTCGGGGAACTAGAAAACAAAATTATTTAAACAATTTTGAAATTTTGTAAAGAAAAATAGAACCTTTTCTTTCACTTTTGTATGTAAGTCGTAGAAGTCACTGTACCGCCTGTATATGTGCCATTCTTCCAAGTATCCAGTGGCGTACTGTCTACTCACTCTTAAAGCGTATATGCCAAAAGTTTTGCCTTTTTCACATACAATACCTGAGAAATTATTATAACTAATTATTTACTCAAGTTTACTTATTGATCAGATATTGTGTTTCAATAATAAACAACATACTACCTTAAATAATTACCAGATTTAAACGGCAATAACTTGTTTAATTTAAATGGAACACCGTGTATATTTTTTGAGAATCAGATGCACAATTTAATTGTCTATGAAATTGTATTATACCATTTTTATCTCACTTATCACTATACCCGTGGAATATTGACATTTTAGATTATTTTTAAAGATAACAAACAAAGGTAAAGCAAAGGTAACAAATTTTAAAAAAGTTTAAAAGTCATTTTTGTAAATTGCGCTCATAACATTTGACTCCTTTAAATATTTTTACCCTATTTAAGATGCACCCTCTATAATACACAAATAAATTATTATAACTTAGAACAACCTACCTGTTTCTATAATATTTACTGTCAAATCATATTCCCCCGTTTTCAAATGGTCGGTGTTTTCTTTGGCACTATCTACATTGATTTTTGACGTTTCTATCTCACTACCTGCTTTCAAATACGGATAAAAATTAACACTGCTATTATCAGCCTTGAACATTGTAACATCACTGAAGGACCTTGTATGCTTCACTATTTTTTGAGTATTTTTCCCTGACTCCAAGTTCACATCTAAACTATCTGCGCTGTTCAAACTATAGTTATCCTCTTCATTGACCGTTTGCGGAACCAAGTCTAGTTCGTGTAACAGCTTAATATAGGCCTTACTTTTCTTGAATTGACTTAAACTTTCGTTTTCCATTTTAGAGAATAAAACATCTTTGACTTTATCGAACCAGCGTTCATTGGGAACTTCATTCAAATTTCTTATTTTGAAATAGAGGTTTTGAGTTAGATCTGCATTGATTTGTACCCTCTCATCTTTTTTATCTCCTAGATACTGGTCATATATACTCAAAGCTGTTGATCTTATCATATCGTAAACAGCGGCATTATGTTCAGAATTTCGGCTCTTTTTTAATTCTAAAAGTTCTTTGCCTACCGAATTCTTCCAGCCTTCAATATTTAAATAAAAGAATAAATCTAACTGTTTCTTTTGCGTGGAGACAAAATCCATGAAATATGAGAGTCCTAAGTTATCTTTGAGTATCTGTTCTAAAGTAAGATCGATTTTTTTAATGTTCTCAATGTGAAAATATTCCAAAGAATTTTCAGAATCTACGTCTAAATTTTCTCTTTTCGCTAAGCGATTATCGATAAGTCTAACTACATAACTTAGGCTACTTAGTTGTTGTTTAATGGATAAATCCTCTCCGCCTGAATCGCGAGATCTCTGAAAGCAGAATTGTTTACCGTAAGATCAAAAAAAAAAAAAATTATGTCAGTGTTTAATAAGTAAAATACAGGGTGGCCTAATAGTGCAAGGAAGTTCAATATCTTTGTTGTTGACAAAGATTTATATAAATGTTGCATAGTTTATAAAGGTGCATATCATAAAAATATTTTGTTGTATGGTAAGGTGGCCAAAAAAAAGCAATGATAAAGCTTTTTGTCCGTGTTTTTTATTGAGTGGCAATTTTTTTTAAATGCCACACCCTGTATATTATTTTTCTTTTAGATAAAATACATTTTTTCTATTTAAAGTGTTCTTTGAACGGTAAATTTTTATCAAAGCCACCTCACGAATATTTTGCTCATATTTTATTATTGAAAGAGCCATAATAAAGGTTTGTTTTTTAATTCTGCATCTAAAAGAAAAATAATATACAGGGTGTTGCGTTTAAAAAAATTGAGATACAGCATGATAAATATTGCAAATTTGGAAACGCCATAAAAATACCCTATTTAAGATACATTGAGTTTTCCTTCACACATCTGTTATTCTTGATATTTAGGAAAATATAGGTAAGCAATAATAAAGTTAAATTCATTCCAGGATTTTCTTTTCGGATATACTGTTTTGAAGCAAAGTTTTAGTAAATAAGAAATAGTATGACAACACCGCATAATGCTTAAAAAAATAGTGTACTAGTATATGCAAAATTATATGCTAAACCCAATTCTGTACTGAAAAATGGGGGTTCCAATTTAAAAAAAAAATACAACTTTATCATTTTTTTTTCGGGAACACCCTGTATTCAACAAAATATTGTTAGGATATGCAGCTTTATAAACCTGTTTATAAAAAAAAACATATTTAATTTCAAAGCTATTGTGACGTTTTTTTTTTATATTATGGTATTTAATCAACAAAATAACTAAAAAAATAAATTGTACTTACAAGATTGTGAATTTCACTTTCAACCAGTTCTTTGGTACTTTTTAATTCTTCTGAATTTTCAGTTATCCTTAATGTAGTCAAGAAAATCTCACTACACATTTGTGTGTTCCTTAAACACTAAAAATACATCCTTACAGTAGCTTTAAACCTTTATTTACATGCAACTTGTAACTTACAATCCATATAATTACTTGATTAATATAATCAGGATCCGAGACAAGATCGAAAAGTGGCAATATGACTCCATTAGAAAATATATCTCTCAATAAAAATCTCAAAGGTTTACAATGAAAATCATCGTCTGGTAGCAAAATATATAGTAAAATTTCCATTATCTCATTTAAAAAATCTTGAAGCAAAACATATTCCAGATAAAATCATCAAACATTCATATAAACCATACATACTTTTCTCGTTATTTTTATCCATACTTATGGAACTTCTACATACTAAATTCTTCTCCATTTGAAGCTCTAAATCGAAAAAATGGTCCTCCAATGAATACTTTTTAGAATCGGATGAATAAAAAGTTGAATTTCCCACTACTTTTTCTGAATCTACAAAAATCAACCAAATTATCACAATAACTGAATGTTTTTACCCGAAAAATATGTTACCTTTCTTAAATTCTGCACCTTTTCCAGTATACCAGGTAGCATCAGTCTCACTTTTATTTCTTTTGTGTATATTTTTTCTCGGTGACGTTTTAACATCTTTGGAGGGAGAATTTCTCGAATCCTTGGCTCTTTCTTGTACTTTAATCTTTGCTCGAGCTTGTTTGTACAGTCGCAGATGTGTGGCTGCATCATCGACTAACCTTTGTGTTAAATACGGGATCCAATCTACTTCTTTTATTCTAAAAAATATCAGAATATTCAGAAAATATACATAAAATCTTTCACATCCTTACAACCTGTTAGAAATGTTAATAGCAAAGGTTTGTGCAGTCTGTCTAACTGAATTGTTTAGGAAATCTTTATCGGCTGATATTAGTAGGTACCAAGGCTGAATATAATCTCTAATAATATATCCTAAAATCTCTTGTAAGGAACTATCAATAAGCTCACTCCCTGTAACTCTGTTGTCAGCTTTAGGTACTTTTTTCGGACTAGATAAAAGCTTTTTGATCCTTTTCAAACCTCCTTCGCATTGTGTGTTTGTAGTTAAAGGGTTTCCAGCAGACTTGATGTAAAATTTCTCAATGTCTCCCAGTTTTAAGTACAAAAAGGATAATATACTGCAGATGACATAAAGATGAAATTAAACTTGATTCAGAGATAGTAATATTGTGTTACTCACCCAAAAACAAACAATAGTAAGCTGCTTAAGCTAGTAAATAGCCAAAATATTCCAAAACTATTAAATAACAGTATCACAATTAATCCAATCCAACCGACTGTGGATATTTCCATATCGCACAAATATCACAAGTACATTTTTTAAGCCGTAAAAAAATAATTAGTTTAGTTAGGAAGAATGTTCGGGTGAAAGTAATCTAGGTGAAGGTAAAGAATATCATTGTAGAATTGTATAAAATGTAAATATTTATAAATACTTTAGTTTGTTAAATATTTTTGTGATGTTTATTTTTGTAAATGTGTCACAGACGTCAGGTGTCAGGTGTGAAGTGTCAAATTCTGAATAAATTGAAAATAAAGTTATCTATACGAGTTTCGTATATTGTGTCATAGATGGAGCAAGCGAATCAGCGCGGAAATTTAAAAAACTACCCTCAAAGTTAAAAACCATCCCGCAAAGAAATATGCGCAGTTCTAAGAAAGAAATATTCGAAAAGGTCGTTTTTTCGGCGTGTAAATGTTAGATTATGGCAAAATTTATAGCGACAATAAAAGCAATAATAACGCGGGTGGTTTTTGCCGCACACGGGTTTATAGGAATATGGCAAGTAACGATATTCAAAAAGAACTCTTTTTACTGGTACCTTAGCTCTCCGATTTTGTTGTTATTTTTCGAAGGAATATTCACGTTAACGATTAAGCAAAATCAAGAATGGAAATGGTAAGTTTTAGGGAATATCCACAGTGTTTTATAAAAAAGTAAATAAAATGAAAAAAAGTATTTTAAGTTAATGTCTCTTTTTGCTGCCAGGGATAATCTGGACAGAATACTAGACAATCAAGCTTTCAAAATAACTACTTTTATAGTTTAATTTTACTAACTTAAAAATTTTGTTATACACAGGGTGTTTTAGAGGATGATTCTTCAAAAATATTTTTTTACGAAACAAGAAAAATATATTTTTTTAAGTCTAATCGTTCTGTATTTTTAAAACTACTCATGTATACATACAGGATGTTTCAAAAAACGTGTGTCATCTCTCGTGGGTAGATTCCTTACGTAAAAATAAGATATATTTTTTATATCAACATAATACCGTATGATCGAATAAAAACGGCGTCCAGTTGGCTTGGAAATGACGATCGATGGTTAAAATAAACTCTATATTCTTTAAATGATACTCTCTGGCCTGGACATACTATATATTTAAAGCTTAGTTAGAATTTTTATAATATAAGAGACCAAAAAACACCTTGTATAGCTGCAGAGTCATTAAAAATAAACTTAAATATATTCGAATGTTTTTTTAAAGCTTTTTGAAGAGTTTTTTTCTCCATCCATTACCCTATATTCGATTTCCGGTGGTGGAACTAGGTTAAAACATTAGATTTCGGTACAATACTTTCCAAATTGTGCGGAAATGAATGGGCCGAAGCGATGAGACACACCACTCAACTTCTGGCGTCACGGACTATTATTTTTCCTGTCGATCGACGTGGAGTGTCAACGAATCATTCTCCAAACGAACAACGATCTATTTTAAATGGATTTTTGGCAACAATACCACCGTATACCTACCTACGTTCCCTCTCTAGTCAGAGAACACACCTTTTTTATGGCCCCACACGTTATACATAGGAATTACAATATCGTCATTAAAACCTGCCAAAATTGTCTGTAAGCACAAGGAAATTTTAGTATAGTTTTTTTCATATAAGTTTTACCCGTTTTGACATCGTGTATTGTAATACTTTGGCCCAATCAAAAATATAGTCTATAAAATGAATAACTTTGAATTTTCACCGTTATTTTTTACCAACATGGCAAATATAAAATCCCTCTGTCAAAAAAGTTACTGATATTCTTTTAATTGAGTGCCTGAACGAATCAGATAGGTAACTCTTTTTACTTTCGTGAAATAGAAAAGGAAAATTATAAAACAAGTGACAGTTCTTCCTCTTCTTGCAAAAATCAACACGAAATGTCATAATTGTCAAAAGTAAAATGTCATCAGCATTTGACATTTCTAAATATCAGACCAATGCCGTCTCTAATAGAACTGCCTCGGCGCGAGATTTATGACGTCACGCTAGTTAGATACTACGGATTAATAAATATGTTGTAGAATACATGGAAAACATAATTATTCCTCGTATTTTTGGTTTGCATTTTAAAAATAATAATAATAATACTTATATGTAACAATTTATATATAAAATTCCAGCGATCTTTATTTCATAGCCATCGCTGACGCCTTTTTTCTGTGATATTGTATTATTTGCATATATAAATTTTCGAAATTTTGTGAATGCAAATAATAATACATCACTATTAGTAGATATTGAATGTTTTTTGTTAAATTTGATCGATTTTCAAACCCCAAAATTTAAAATATATTTTACAGTTTACCCATTATCTTATGTACCTATTCATGATTTGTATATTGTAAAACATTTACGAGGAATTTGTATATTGTAAAACATTACGAGGAAGAATTGTGATTTCCATGTTTTCTACAACATATTTATTAATCCATAGTATCTAACTAGCGTGACGTCGCAAATCTCGCTCCGAGGCTGTTCTATTAGAGACGGCATTGCGTCAGCATGGCCGCAAGTTGCTAGCCTAATAAAATCAACACTAGAAAAGCCCGCGGGAACTGTCAAATTCAAAGTTATTCGTTTCACAGACTATATCTGTGGTAGAGGCCTATATACAGCGTCAGCAAAGTATAACTTTGGGTGCAGATTTTTGTGTGTACGAATAGTACACTCAACACCACAAATCAGAACGTTTATTTTATGGTTAATACAGTACAATAAATAAGATGTACTGTAAGAACCATAAAAGAAGAACAAGTACCATACGATCGAAAAAAAAGGGCGTCAAAGACGATTTAGGAATGACAATCAATGATAATTTTGGCGTGGTTAAGCTTTAAACTGATTTGCTTAGCCCGTAGGTAGGTACCCTTCGTTATTTTTTAATGGCGCTTATACTGTCAGTTAGCCTTTGAGAAGGTTGTAATTTATTTTTATACTAGCGTGTACCCGCGACTTCGTTCGCGTCGAATTAATCATTTGAAATGGTGATGATAAAGCAAAGCAAGAATTTCCATTAACATACAAACAGGATAAAATTTTCTCACGTTTATGTCAGAATGAGAAAAAACAATCGAGAAACCCCTCCTTATCGAACCTCTACACCCCACAGTCAATCCGTTTACCAAAAATCAGCTTTAGACGTCAAGCAGTTTAAGCAGAATCTTGATTACTCAGTGGACATATTTTATGAAACACCCTGTATAAATTTTTAAAAAATCTTAAAATGTGTAAAACAACAAAATAAAATATACGTGTATAAAAACATATTCTAATATTTGAGGGGTGGTTTCACCCCCTTAGAATTCGAGTTTTGAAAAATCCCTTCTTATCGAACCTCTACACCCTAAAGTCAATCTGTTTTCCAAAAATCAGCTTTTTACGTCAAGCGCTTTAAGCAGGATCTTGATTAATCAATGACCAGATGTATACAGGGAAAAATCCCTGTATACATTTTTAAAAAATCTTAATATATGTAAAAAAACAAAATAAAATATACGTGTTTAAGCGTTTTTTCGGAAACTTGACCGTTTTTTAAATAAAAAAATATTGTAATATTTGAAGGGTGGTTTCACCCCCTTGGAACTGGAATTTCGAAAAATCCCTTCTTATTGAACCTTTACACCCTAGAATCAACCTGTATGCCAAAATTGGGCTTCTTACGTTGAGTAGTTTGAGCAGGATCGTGATTAATCAGCGAGTCAGTCACTTAAGGATTTTATATATTTGTATAGATTGAGTAAGAAATAAGAATTATTTTTAAATGATAGTAAAAAAGTCGTTTAAAATTCGAAAAAAACCGCCTTTTTAAAAATAAATATATATTTCTTTAAATTCAATACATTCAGTTTTAAGACACTCTGTATACATAAATAAAATTATTGATTTTTACAATATTATTCACAAACTAGGGAGAGGGAAATCAGACAATGAACAGAATAATTGATAGATTAGGTGTTAGGTAATAGCTTTGAGATTACCATTCGAGATGCATTTATGTTATTTTGGTTTGTAAATTTTGGTTATCGCATCGTGACAAAGAATGTTATTAAAGGTAAAGTAAATGTTTTCTCATTATTTAACTAATATGTTCACTAAAGGATATAACTTATTTTTCTGTTGTAATATTCTGTGCTAAAGCTTTTCCTTATTTATTTTATCTGAGAATTATTTCATGAAACATGTGCATGTATTTGATGGATTCGATTTATGCTGTTAATAATTTCAATTTAAAAGTAATCTAAATACAATCATTACTATCCATTCGTGCCGATGTGTTTCACGGAATATTGGGACACCCTGTATAAAATCAGAGTGATAAAAATGTATAACCCTCTTGGTTTAGTGTGTTAAAAAATATGTATATAATTTTCGGCTTTTATTTAATTTAAATTTTGATTTTTACCAGGTTTTGTCCATCTGTTTTTCTTTATTTGGCAAGTATCGTCCCGGCAATATGGCTCCTGGAACTAGACAAAGTAGAAAAAAGAATGAAAGCCAAAGAAGAACTAGAATTACCCATGAATTTCACAGCAGACTCACAATTGAAAGATCTACACAATCTCATTGGGGTTAGTATGATTGAATCAAAAAATAAAAATATAATTTAAAACTCAAAATTAAATAAATCTACTGTGTGTTTTATACGCTACTAGAGCTATTAGTTTCAGAAATAATTATTTTAATACGAAATTTTAAAATAATATTAAATAAATTATCGATGACCAACAAAATGAATTGTTTTTATTAAAATTTCAGGTTGGTATAAAACTTCCAGACATTTCACTTAGCACCGAAACATGGATAACGCTGATTGAACAGTTTTTAATGTTGATACTCATTATTGGTAGATGGATGCTGCCCAAAGGAGATCTGACCAGAGATCAGCTCAGTCAATTGCTGCTTGTCTATATTGGTAAGTATCATTTTTATTAGACTAGAAGCACTTTGAAACGACAAAATGAAAGTTCCTAATTTTTCTGTTTTTTACCACTGATATTAAAAATACAAAAAACATAGTACGTACAATATACAGGGTGAGACATTTGGAAAACGGTAAAGAGAAAATATGTTTCTTTTATCGAGATCTACGAGAATACATCTACCTATATTTCATATCAATTAAACTATAAATCTTTATTATATATATTAAATTATATTAAATTAACTTTCCTCATTGTTACCAACCATAGACATATTCGGCGCCGTGCCGACTAATTGGAATTTAAATTTCCCGCTGGGGATCCGGGTGGTAGCGCTGCTGTAAAAAAATGCCAAGTTGCCGCTTTTATTTATTTATTTTCTGACATTGTCATTCGTTTTGACACTTTAGTTTTGTATTACGAGTTTGTGGTTTAAACCATGTTTAAACCAGGGGGGTGACAGTAAACCGGAAAATTGGAAACAGTTATGGCGCGGTTCTACCCAGGCAGAAAGCATGGCCTTCTAGACTGTCCGACTGTCCTAGACAAAAATCTGAATATTTCTATATGATTTCTGTCAATTTCTGCTACGGAACATTTTTATGCACGTCGGCGTCCTGTTCTTTTGTCTTTTGTCTGTGTGTCAGCGTCAGCTCCCGAGGCCTCTGGCAAGGTCGAGCGCCATTTTAATTTTTGCCGTTTAGATTTGATTGGAAGTTTGTTTCTGATATTTCGGCTGAAATTTATAAGTACAAAGATGTTTTTTGATATAAAGTTCCTTGTTAACACTTTAATAAAGTATATATGATATTAATTACATGAAGAAAATGATGAAATCGACGTTTCTGCGTGTACTAGGTATGGGCCATATTATATGTAAAAATAGGTAATATATTAATTGTTTTTATATTTTTTTTAGCTTTAAACCCAAGGATCTTGGGATATTCTTTGCCAAGGATTTTTCCGTATCTCTACTTTAAAGACTGATCGGTGATTTTGAGCAATTGAAAGCAAGTTATACAAGGTAAATTATGATTATTGAACTATTATTAGCCTACATTGATTTTCTACAAGATGAATTGTATTTCTTATATTATGTATTTTTATAGCAATAATGCTATAAATCTATGTATGTAGATTATTTTTAAAATACAAATGAGGTATTGGATGTATATGTATTATATTTTTTATTCATTTTATTTTCATTCAAGTCCTGTTTGATTTAATTCACAAAAGTCTTATGTACCTATATTTATGTTTTTTACATATTTTTTTTGATTCCAGGTTTTGTGTGGGTTCCGGTTGCCTTTTTCCTGCTTCCAGTTATTTAGTTTTATGCCGTGAAGCTGTGAAAACATTTATTTATCTTCAAGTTTCTGTAAGTCAATGCACTGTTACTTTACTAATTCACTTTAACACAGCATCTCTGATATTATTTAAATATTTGATATTGATACAGTAGTTTATTGGTTTATAGCTCTTTAATTGTGGTGATTTGCATATTTACATTGTTCTAAATTCCAAATAAATATTTTTGAGTAATTTTGTTGTATTATTTACTACTAGAAAGAGTAAAAAGTATATTAACCCTCATTTAAACCTCCTGAACAGCCCGCTATTAAAAACAGGAAACGGAAATAAATTTCATAAAATTGAAATTGTCATGTCTATGTCATGTCAAATGTCCCAGCCGCCATATCTGAAAATTAGTTACCCAGGCAGCCACGCTGTTTCCATAATTTAACATTGACTTGACACTTATTGTTGTATTTATTATTTTATGGTTTAAACAAATAAGTTTGTGATACTTTAAGCATAGTAATTAAACCTTGTTCTTTTTAAAACCACTTTTAGTGCGAAGTGTACAAGATAACTTAATAGCCGTAAAAAACTCATCGCAACTTTATTAGAATATTTTGAATGAGAAAGCGGTAGTAATGGCCCTTTATGTCCCTTAAGTGCTGTTAAGAAAGTGAGTTTTGTTGATATAAATAATAACTGTTTATATATTTATAATTAATTTATTTTTGTTTCTTAAAATGTTTTGATTAAAAGAAAATTTATAAAAGTGGGCAACGCTGTGCCGGTCAAGTTTAACCACGTGACTGAAAGTTTATTTGGTATGAACTGTACCAGAAAATATTTGCACTTATTTAAGACTCGCCCTGTATACATTCATGGAAACGTTTTATGATCAAAGCGTGCTTTGTACGAGAGTCGTACGATGACAGATAACATGTTCTTATGGTAAATTGCATATTGAAATATTCATAAACTGTCAAAGTCCACATGATCATAAAATCTTTTACATACAAAAAAGAAACAAATTGGCTAGAGATCTAACGCATCTCATATTTAGTGGTTTTCACCTAAAGTTTGCCAGTTTTTTACGCTATTAAATTTTTAACAATAAATTTTAGAAATTTCGTTTTTTATACCATGAAGCTATAAAATAAAATAACGCGCAGAAAGTACTAGATGATACAAACTGTTTTGTTTATATATTATACATTATTACATAGCACAATAATTAATGATCAGAATCTTTCCAAAACTCTTTCTTTTAATTTAATGTATTTACATAATCATGCACATGGCAAATGTTTTAGAATCTTACGTAGAAACTTTATTGCTATAACAACAAATATCCAGAAAATACTACGTTATACTTACAAGGGTGATTTGAAAAGTTTCGCATATCAACACCCAGCAATAGAAGATACGGTAATCGCAAAACATTTTCTGATGCACGTCATCAATCATATCGAAATTGATATTAAAGCCTATACACCTGACTAAATATGAAATTTTAGCAAAAATGTTTAAATTTGTTGTATAATTTAACATACCGAGCAGCTCTTCATTTTACTTCATAAAGCAAATGAGTGTAATAGATATTTTATTTAGATTAAAGGTGCAAAAATTAGTTTAAAGCGATTTTTATTATCGCCATGTTGGTCACATTGCGCCGTTGTCGTTTACTATTTGACAATTATCATAATGTCAGTTATTATTTTGTATAATATCATATGTACTGATTTCTATCGAAAATCGACAACTATGAAACTATGAACTTTTCCTGGGCACAAACGGTATATTGTGAGACAGGAAATTGTAGAGAGAAACAAGCCCTCTAATATAGGATACAACATTTTAATGAACAGTTCTTTTCATAAAATCAATAAAATGAAAAATATACGAAATAATATACATGTACTGATTTCTTTCGAAAATCGACAACTATGAAACTATGAACTTTTCCTGGGCACAAACGGTATATTGTGAGACAGGAAATTGTAGAGAGAAACAAGCCCTCTAATATAGGATACAACATTTTAATGAACAGTGCTTTCCATAAAACCAATAAAATGAAAAATATACGAAATAATATGCATGTACTGATATCTTTCGAAAATCGACAACTATGAAACTATGAACTCTTCCTGGACACAAACGGTACATTGTGAGACAGAAAATTGTAGAGAGAAACAAGCCCTATAACATAGGATACAACATTTTAATGAACAGTGTTTTCCATAAAAACAATAAAATGAAAAATATACGAAATAATACGCATGTACTGATTTCTTTCGAAAATCGACAACTATGAAACTATGAACTCTTCCTAGACACAAACGGTACATTGTGAGACAGGAAATTGTAGAGAGAAACAAGCCCTTTAACATAGGATACAACATTTTAATGAACAGTGCTTTCCATAAAATCAATAAAATGAAAAATATACGAAATAATATGCATGTACTGATTTCTTTCGAAAATCGACAACTATGAAACTATGAACTCTTCCTGGACACAAACGGTAGATTGTGAGACAGAAAATTGTAGAGAGGAACAAGCCCTTTAACATAGGATACAACATTTTAATGAACAGTGCTTTTCATAAAATCAATAAAATGAAAAATATACGAAATAATACGCATGTATTGATTTCTTTCGAAAATCGACAACTATGAAATTATGAACTCTTCCTGGACACAAACGGTACATTGTGAGACAGAAAATTGTAGAAAGGAACAAGCCCTTTAACATAGGATACAACATTTTAATGAACAGGCTAATTGAAACTACTAATTTATTCCACTGATTTCGAGGTTCTGAATGAAGCTTTAAAACCTGATACTTTTTTTTTCGATTTTATGATACATCAGTAACCAATCTGTTACCATACTCTTAGATAAAGAATAGGTTTTGCCTTTTTTGGCTCAACTTTATACACGTAATAAATTTTAAACGTCAAAATCGTAAAATATAAATTTCTAAATTTATTAACTGCCCAGTGACGGATATTTTGAATTCTTTTGTATACACAACTATAAACCCACGATAATTTCTACAAACTTTCTTTAAATAACCCATGATCGCTTGCTTATTACAAAGGCATTGTATACCGAAATATTCTACATCGACAAGTATAAAATTATATTAGGTGCTATAGGGTGATTCATTGATCTACGCAAACTAAAATGTGAATCACCCAAAAACAAAAGCTTGAAACCTAAAATTTTAAAAAAATAAAAATTAACGTCAAAAGTGTCTTGTTTACTCTGTCGCAGTTGTAGGTTACGGTTACATCCGGTTTTCTGTTTGTTCGAAAATAAATTCTGTCTTGTTTTTTTGTCTTTTTTTTTGGCAAAGTTGCAAAATGTTTTAACACTCTAACTAAACTACAACTATTCCTATAATTTCATGTTTGATTAGCAAATACAATGATACTAAAAGATTTCGACAGACATCCCAAAAATGGCAGAAAACACAGTTTTCCTGTACAGTAAAATAACAGATTACAACTTGATTACAACTGTCACTTTAATGTATCTTCTCGTTCTTTGAATAAATCTTTTCATGTATTCATGCATGATAGACGAAAGTGGGGATCGGACAGTTCTGTTTGACGATTCATTTGACAAACTTCAATTTGATTTGAAATTTTGTGGATTTGTCAAGCTTTGTTCGGGTTCTTGTTATTACCGATTCTGAACCGTCCTAGAACTGTGATGCGTATGCGCAGAAGGAAATATGAAGACATTATTTCATTTGCGCATGCGCTGCAGAGTTCTAGGACGGTTCTGAATCGGTAATAACAAGAACCCGAACAAAGCTTCAGTCTTTACTGATCTTATTTTATGTTATTTATTATTTATTCTACAACTGGTAGTTGTTTAACCTAAGAAAAAAAAACAGAGTATACCTCACTCTGTTTTTTTTTCTTAGGTAAGATTTCGACAGACGATGACAAAAGAAAAGCAGATGACGTCCCATGCCAATCTATTTATTTTACTAAAAAAAGTTTCTCATATTTTTTAAGTTAACTATGGATGGGTTTAAATATTTTTATTATATTAACCAGTTTTATTGGTTTATTTCAAAAAGGACAGATCATATTACAATTTTATTGGTTTGACGGAACGATAAACGACAAACGGACGCCGATACGTATGAACTCGCCTTTAGATGTTTGAGACTTGTCAAAGTCTTGCCAAATTATAGGTTATAATTTTGTGTCAACTTAAACTTATGTCAAATATCTGCGTTTTGGAAGATGATGCGTTTTGATTCGTGTTATTACATGTTTTGTGTCTTTTGAAGTCAAGTGGAGGAAATATCTGTCTTATACACCAATAAAGTTACCATCAATAAAGTTTGTATACCATCTCGTCGTTGATAAGTGCATCTCGTATATTATGCTACAAGGATCGTTCTAAACATACCGGGTGTTGCATCGTCGGACGGGACATAGGAAATCCCATGTAATTTTTAATGGGGTCAATAATTGGCTTCCCTAATAATTTTAGAGAATAATTCTATTTAGGTTTATTGAAGAGTACTAAAACCCACATTCAAAAGAATAACTTTAGATATTTTTGATTAGCTCGTTTACGAGTTATCGCTGATTTCTTTTTAAATATTTCTCCTTTCTTATGGCCCTGTATTTACCTATGAGCACCAGTCAAGGTAAAAGATAACTGTCAAATGAAGTTGTCATTTCAGAAATTTATCTATTTAGTGCTTTATTATTATTGAAAACTCATTCCTACATCGGAAATCTTAAAGATGTATTTATAAATACAAATTAATATGAATTAAAGTAAAATAAAGTAATCAATTACAAGGTTAATTATAGTATTATTACAATATTCAATAACTTATTAATTTAGGTATTATTAAATGACAACTTCATTTAACAGTTATCTTTTTTTCCAACATTCATAGGATGAAGGGAACGTTCACCTTGGATAACTGCAAGGAAGGGAGGAAAAGCAGAAATATCATACTCTGAAATTTTATTTGTATATTTCCTAATATTAAAAAAACATTGAGAAATTTCTTGCTGTACTTCAACATCTTCTATATATTTGTTTCTAATCCCATAAAGTTCCTCTTCAAGGTGCTTAATGACATTTACGGGTATTTCTTGACATATACCTTTTGTAAAGCTCAAACTTAAATTGTAATTTTGGGGCGATAAAATATGGGCTAATTTTCGAACGAAATCATTAGGAGGACCCTTCCCCATTTAGCATAGGATCAGGAACGATCAGGAAGGGTCAGCAGGATTTTAGGGTTAGGATTATATAAGCAAAAAACTAAAACTACTTAATAAAATGGAAAACACTCACCAAAAACAAGTACAAACTAAAAACAATGGGAAATTGGAACCTGAATTAAATTCTATCTCAGAAAAAGGATTTTTTTACGCTCAACCGTCTTTCACGTCCGACCGGCGCCAACTCTTTCCAAATATATACATGGATAGCATTATGCTCCTTCCTTAGTCTTCTTATTCAAAGGTTCGACCTAAGATTTTTGATATGCTTCTTCCTTTTAATCTTTTTATTCAAAGCTTTAAAACTAAAGAAAATGTGACACTTCACTCAAAATATTAAAACAAATGTTGAAAAGTCATGACATTACATCACATGTATTTGTATATAAAAAAAATATATTTAAAATAACTAATACTAGGCAGGACTTTTGGTACAGCATACCAATTATGGCAAATTCCTGTTTACTGTTTACATTAATCCTACTTGGTGGTTTGGTCCACATCAATTGCGTTTCCAAAAAGTTTCCACTTTCGTAGAAAAACAAATAACTATGACGATGTAACTATACTGGAATCGCTGGACATTCTAAAAATACGCTCCTCTGGAAAACAGCCGTACTATTTCCACCGCACTCGGTACTAAAATTAGCGAATTTTCGGATAATAAATCAAAATTCGATATTTTTACTGGCTCGCAGGATTTTGCAAAACGTTTTATTTACCCTTTTGATGTTATTTCAGGAACTGCGGCCGATATAATCGAGTTTTTCGATTCGTTTAAAGATGACAAGATCGCAGCCGAACCAATTTTGGTACTTCTGACTCTAGCTATATGGTAAGAACAACTTAGGGTACAAGAGGTAAAGTCCAGGTCAGAATCAGCTGGCGTTTTTCGCAACTTCGGCAGCATATTCTTCGGATAAAAATAAGTAAAAGGCTTCGTATAAATGTATGTTCTAAAATGCTTCGTTTCAGATATACAGGGTATAGAAGTTTCATTACTATTTCAATTTTTGTGTTCTGTTGTTTCTGAACTAATGTCAACATTTGGATAAAAATTGGTGTCGGTGTAAAAATACACATTATAGATAGTTATTTGACTGAAATGATAGGTAAATTTGGAAACTTTTTATTCTTATAAATTATGATGAAACAGTTTTTGTTGAACCTTTAGCACAAAAACATTTCAAATTTATATGATTTTAGTCTAATAACTATCTAGTTAACAATAGTATTGAAATTTGAAATTGATTATTTCGATTCCAAATATCTCGAGAACCATTAGTCGTAGCAATTTTAAAAGCAAATTACTTATTTTTATATGCAGAATTTGCTGTGGAAGTTTCCCCAATACAATTCGGACCACCCTGTATACGATGCAGACTTTATCTGTGGCACTAGCATTGTATATATTTCTGTATATTTAATAGATATAATATATACATATTTCAAAACTAAAGGCTTTGTACTACATTTGGTTAGGTCATGGAGCTTGATGCAGTTCACTGTGGTTTTAACTGCCACAAAATCAAGAAAATCTCGACTTACCTCTACCAAATCATCAATCAAAAAGTAAGTAAAATTGGCTCTAAGGACCAACAAAAAATCAGTTTTAATATGTGTTCGTAAGTATTTGTTGTATCTGAATTGTATAATTTTAAAAGTAAATATTTTTTTTTCATTTTGTTTATTATTAGCTGCTAGAAGATAGTGAAAAAGAAAAGCGAATTTTAATGTAGGTATTCGCTAGTACTTAAGCTCTCGTGAATGCTAGCAACTTTTACTGACGTACTGTTAGCAAATTAATGATAAAACAGTTTCTGTTGAACTTTAAGCACAAAAACATTTCAAATTTATAATTTCAGTCTAATAACTATTTAGTCAACATGTTTAATTCATGTCAGTGGTGACAGGTATTGATAAATTCGATTCCAAATATCTCGAGAACCATTACTCGTAGCGATTTTTAACAAGAGACCATTTTTACGTAGAAAAAGTCGTAAATGTATATTTTTTTACTCAGTAGTTTTATACAGGTACGGACGAAACAAGTAGGAGTCATATTGACATCAAAATCAAATTTCTCATGCCAAAAAACTGCAAGATACCAATTTTTATTCAAATATTGACGTTACTTCAGAAATTATTTGGAAAAAATCGAAATAAAAATGAAACTTCTACACCCTGTATCTCCAAAACTAAACATTTTAGAACATACATTTATACGAACTTTTTTACATATTTTTATCTGCAGAATATGCTGCCGTAGTTTCCAGAATACAGTTCGGATCACCCTGTATAAAACGTTCTGTTTATGTGATAATAAAAAATAAGTATATAACTATATTTCTAGACAGACAGAATACAAGAATAATTTTTCTTTGTATTAATTTTATAAACACTTGCGTCATTTCGAAAAATTCAAAGAAAATGCTATATTTCTACGCGATTGGGTTTATTTAAACTACGTTAAATAATCTATGGCGTCAGATATGACGGTACAAATATACGTATCTGAGTTAAAATTTGAAAAACATTTCATTTTTCATTTCCACATTATTTCCAAGATTTTCTATTTTTGCAATCTCTACTTGTTTTTATTACGTACCAATGTAATATTATGGAAACATATGATCGAAAGAAAATCGACGTCACAGTGGCCTGTGAAATGAGAATAGACAATAATTTTGTTGGATCGATCTCTGTTGTAGTGATCATTTATAAAAATTGAAATATAAACTTGTTAAAACTCATTTTTAAAGTAAAAAAAGTTGAATTTACTTCAGTTTCATTTTTTAGTTTCATTTAAAAAAATCATAATATTATGACTATATATCTGTCTAAACTAATTTCAAAATATCAATTTTTTATTTCTCATAATAACAAAGATGAAGAAAAGCTATTGTTACCAAATTTTAACACACAAATTACATACGCAAGCATATAATATATAAATATTATTATTATTCCATTTAACAAGACATTTTATTTAAAGCTGAATTAAATTTGATTATAGGATTATACAAACGTTTAAAACACAAAGATAAATACCAAAATTTTCCCAATGCGTAAGAGAATTCGATCAGTTTGGAATTTCGATTTTTCTTTTCTAGAAAAACTGATGATTTTCTTTTAAATGTTGGCAAAGGAAAACTTAGTCATTCGCTCTAAAAATATTCATTTCAATTTACTTATAGACAATGTAATTTTCTATTTTTAAATAAGTTATATGATTATGTTCATCATTAGGTATACAGAGTGGCCCATCGAAAACGTTCCGCAAGGCATAACGGCCAGGGTATTTTTTTTTTCAAAAAATCCAAAAACACGTCAATTTTGTTTGTGAGGGGGACAACTTTTGCCCCAAAAATGATTGCAAAATCTTCAAACCTCTAAGCGGGGGTGTCATCCCCCAACTTTTTTCAAATGGGAAGCGGGGTCATGTGGCGCCGCAATGAAAAGAGCTTTCTATTCTCTATATTTCCCTGCTTCGTTTTTGAAAATCGGTCGAGTCATTGAGAAAATATAAAGGATTGAAACAAGGGCGTAGATAAGGGGGGGTACTGGGGGACAGTACCCCCTGACGCTTGACGAGATACGAGAATTGAAATAGTCATTGACTATGAAAGGATTTTTTTAAATTAATATCCGATATATAAGAACACTTTGAATGCTTTTAATTATGTTGATTTATCGTTTATAATATGTTCGACCTAATTAAAAGCATACAAAGTGTTCTTATTGGCCAGGACAGATTAGTGGGGTTAACTCTAATCAATATCCATAAAGATATTGAAATAAATGTTGATGCTGTTATTGATAGGTTTTCCAAACAGCGTACTAGAAAACTTGATTTTGTTTTGTAGTTTTATTTATAGTTTATAGTTTTTATAGTTTTTTTTTGATAGTTTAGAGTTTTTTATTTATAGTTTATAGAAAATTAACTAATAAATGTCGTTGTTTCATTTTTGTTTATGTTATTTACAAATCTATATTTTAATTTAGTTATTAGTTATGTTTTTATATCTTTTTGAAGACAAAAAAATCGCCGTCGTTTTAATTCGACAAAAAAATTCCGACGGTGATTTTTTTTGCGACTTAATCATAGTACCACCCCCATAGCATACACCTATCTACGCCCCTGGATTGAAATTAGAAAAGTTTATTTAAACATTTATCAGAGTAAATGATAAAGATAATTTCTAGATGTTTACGCATTTTTTCCCTTGCTACAAGGTTGAACGATCAGGTGCGGTAGTTGCTAGATACAGTACATCTGCTGGATCTGTGTCTATGAAAGGAATGCGGACAAAAAACATTTAAATAAACAGCAATATATTTTATACGTCGATTTGACGAGTGCGTCACCGTAAATCGCTCCGCCCACTCATTTTATTGCAAATTTGTTGAATTTTTATTGATGGGACGCGTCGTCTATTTTTTACGGAAAACATCGAGAGAATATCGTTTCCCCTCTCACGGATACCCCGTAGCTACAGAACGGACAGACCTACTGTAGCTGTTCTGTGATTTTTGCGTTGAAGTTCTTCTCAATATCGTTAAACTGACCTACAATAGGATTTCTAAAAATACCAGCCCACACGTTCAATTTCTGAGGGTTTTGTGTGTGCACCTCGTAAAAAAACCCTGAGGTTGTCCTCAGCCCAGTACCGACAGTTGTGCCGATTAACTACACCTTTCAAAAAGAAAGTACACTCATCCGAAAAACACACATTAAATAGGAAATTATTATCATTCGCCACTCGTTCACTGATAGTTTCACAAAATTGCAAGCGACGATCAAAATCGTCTTCGTTGAGTTCTTGTACCAACTGAATTTTGTACGGGTGGAACTTGTGTTTTTTTAATATCTTTTGGACACTTGTACGATTCACGCCGGTCTCATTGGCTAATGTTCTTGTACTCAACGTACTATCCATGGCAACTTGGCCCAATACGAATACCTTCATAGCTTCATTTACTACAGGCTCTGCCTCTTTTTATTCATAACGGAACCAGTTTCGCGAAATCTTGCTACTAACTCGCGAACAATTTTGCCATAAAGGTGTTTGTCAGGATAGCGTTCATTGAATATGTGCGCAACCCAATACCACGGCACATAAAACAATCGGCACGCCAACTCTACTCAGATTCCATTGTTTAAAATTTCTATAAAATTTGACCTTGTCGGCGCCATTATGGTTTCCTAGTCAGGGCCGGATTAAAACGTATTAAAAAATTTCTCAGAAAATACGACAGGGTCGTATTAAAAAAATACTGTAATTGACTGAAACTGAATTTTATTTACAACACTTTTGTCCAAACAAATGAATCGTTAACTGCGCATACTTCTCGAAAAGTAAAAATGAAAAATCAATTAAATATTTCACTGTAGAGAATAGACAATTAAAATTAAAAAACATGCAACTAACAAAAACATGCCAGGAGTTACAAACAAGAATTAAAAAAATACCAATAAAATATTTATTGAACAATATAAAGAGGCTACGTACAAATTATGCCCATCAATGGGCGTAGCAAATTTTATTAATATTCAAATTTCACAAATTAATAAATCCACAATTTTTTTTTAGAAACTTCTATTTTTTTCATGGCAGGAAACAAAGTAGGTACCGCATTGTATTTTATACGGTTAGAAAGTGAATTGGTAAACATTTTAAATTCAAAGTGAACAGAACACACCTGTACTTGTGGGCCTTATTTATATCTTCAATCAAGTCTTCTCCATTAGCTGCAATTGCCCATGTTCTTGCCCTAAAAATGTATTGTTAACTTATTTTCGATATACTCATTTTATTTATTTTTATAATTATATTTAAATGAATAATATAATGATTTTTAAATTTAATTTTTAATGTCTAGATTCTAGATACAACATTAAATTTTATTTTACTAAATATTTAACATTAAATCTTACTAATATTAAAGTTTGTTAAGCTTTTTAATTAGATCTTCCTATTTAGCTGAATGTCCTAATATGTATACTACTGTTTTTTTTCACAACTAAAATATGTTAAAATAATTAATCACATATGTATATACATACCTAATCGGATCTCTAGGAAACAGAAAGAAACTTTTATTGCAGTTTAGTCCTCTACTCGGGCAGTTTTTTGCTGCACAACTTCGCCCAGGCATTTTAAAAACACGTAAAAATTAACGATTTAAAAATGTTTAGAAAAACAAAAATAAATTATATAACACAAGAAACGAAAATAAACTAGAAAAACCAAATATATAACACAATAAACAAAAATAAAACAACAACTATAAAATATAACTCAAGAAATAAACAAAATAAATTAATCCGTACGCTACTGACTCGAATCCGCCGAAAGTGTGCGCAGTCGATGAAAGAAACTACGACACTGGTTACTTTCTGTTGATGGAAACCCTAATGGCGGCGTGCGCGACGGTATGCGCGTAGCGTTCCCGCCAAAGAGAGTTAGCCTGCCGTGTGATTTATATGCCGTGCCAATACATTCATTATTATTAAAATAAAGTTCGATTATTTCCACTTTTTCTGCAAGTGAGTACACCATAATTGTTAAGAAGTTTAACGATATTGAGAAGAACTTCAACGCACAAGTCACAGAACAGCTACCTATCAACTACCGCACCTGATCGTTCAACATTGTGGCAAGTGAAAAAATGCGTAAACATCTAGAAATAATAAGAAAATACAGCAAATCGGTCGAAGAAATTTATCTTTATCATTTACTCTGATAAATGTTTAAATAAACTCTTTCAAATTTCAATCCTTCATATTTTCTCAATGACTCGACCGATTTTCAAAAACAAGGCGGGGAAATATAGAGAATAGAAAGCTCTTTTCAATGCGGCGCCACTTGACCCCTCTTTCCATTTGAACAAAGTTGGGGGATGAAGATTTTGCAATTATTTTTGGGGCAAAAGTTGTCCCCCTCACAAACAAAATTGACGTGTTTTTGAATTTTTTGAAGAAAAAATTACTCTGGCCGTTATGCCTTGCGGAACGTTTTCGATGGGCCACCCTGTATATAGATATATTTGATATCAATTAAACTTTTAGTTATGTAATCGAGGGCACGATTTTTAAATTCATTGTTGCCAACCATAGACATATTCGGCACCGTGTTCATGGGCGCCGGACAGGGGGGGCAAGAGGTGGCATTTGCCCCCCCCCCCTGGATCACTGAAACAATAAAAATAAAAGCTATCTTCTTACATCCATCTGTAAAAAAAATAATCATTATTATGAAATTGTTAGGTGTTACCTGTAAAATAATAAAAAATGTGGTAATTGTTGGGAAAACTGGAAATCGTCCGATTTTCACCAAAATTGGTATACACACTATTTTGAGGTCGTAGATTACGAATCTATTTTTTTCTTGGCGGTCTCTTACCGTTTTTCAGAAAAACGGAAAATGATTTCAACATTGAATTTCTCTTTATTTCGGCCCTATAAAGTAATAATTTCACTATATTTTCATTATAATATAGTTTATCTAAAAGCCACACTTGATTGGGGATAGAAAAGTGTCCAACATTTTACTGAAAACACTTTTCTTAACAAAATAGCAAAGAAAATTGAGACCAGATGGAAGTTTCACATTTGATATATCCTTCTTTCTCTCTCCTATGTAATAAGAGAGACAAATATATTCTAGACCTATTCTAGAAATTTGAAAATTTACAACGTTGCCATTCTTCTATTTTTTCGGGTGATTAGGGATTTTAAATAAATTACCTATTATGAGATCGACAATAATTAAATATACACCTATATCCACAATTACGCGGAAGAGTTTTGATTGCATTGGTTTTAACTTCTTTGCGGAGGGGTTAATCTTTTTAGTTAATCTAATAATATAACAACAAAAGATTAACACCCTCTGCATGGAAGTTGTAACCAATGCAATCAAAACTCTTTCGTGCAACTTCGTCGGTATAAATAGTCAGATCTCGTTGGTAAAATAACAGTTATGGAAAGGAGCCGTTCTTCTGGCGACCGCCTTTTTTTTGTTTAGCATTGGCAACGTTGCTTTAAATGCCAGAAACACATAAACTTACTTCGGGTTTCTCTTATTACCGATTCTGAACCGTCCTAGAACTGTGATGCGTATGCGCAGAAGGAAATATGAAGACATTATTTCATTTGCGCATGCGCTGCAGAGTTCTTGGACGGTTCAGAATCGGTAATAACAAGAACCCGAACAAAGCTATAACCTAACATTTTCAGATTGTTTACAAATTTATTTTAGCAAATTTTCCTCTATTATGCATAGAATTGGTTAAAAAAGTAACAGCAAATAGCAAAAACATTATTGATTATTGAATACCTAACAAAATATGTGCTAGAAAACCTTAAAAATATGAGAAATTAAGAAAAAATCGATATTGAAATTATTTTCCGTTTTTCTGAAAAACGGTAAGAGACCGCCAAGAAAAAAGTTCAGATTCGTAATCTACGACTTCAAAATAGGGTGTATACGAATTTCGGTGAAAATCGGACGATTTCCAGTTTTCCCAATAATTACCAAAAATGTCAGTTTTTTATTCATTTTTACCTTGCCCCCCCCCCCTAAATTTCATTCTTCCGGCGCCCATGACCGTGTTGACTAACTGGAATTTAAATTTCCCGCTCGGGATTCAGGTGGTACTAAAAGTTTATTTGATATAAACTATGTAATATGATGATTTAGTTATCTCCTTTAGCCTTAGGGGGATAGAATTATTAATGACATATAAATAAACGGATATATTCATATTTGTGGGTCATCCCCGAAGACCATCTATGCGGAGTTGCCAAATTAAGTAAAAATTCCTTAAATTTGCAGCGTCGCATCCCTCTCTTTTCATAGCTGTACAAACATACAACGGGTGAGCTTGCTTTTATATTATTAATAAATACCGTTTATTTATAAATTGTACGAAATATAAATTAAGTAAAATCCTTAAAACCACATGGCGTGCATTATTTCAAATCGGAAATGTCATTAAAAACGAATTCGACGAGGACGAGCGCGGAGCAGATAAAAAAATTGGCAAAGGGACAAATTTTTGCGGCGAAAAAAATAAAACAAACTGAAAATAGTTTTTCAGACGACCACTTGTATCGAAAATTGCGCGCATTATGCCCGCCAATCGATCTCAAAATATTATACGAAGCGACGCGTTTTTTTGTGACGTCGGTGAATATTTTTTTGAAAGATTAAATATACCTACATGTTTTAAAGGAACAAGCAGTTTTATTTCCAGAAAAATAGATATCTAATAAAATTTTATTTAATAAATTTTAAATATTAATTTATTTATTTAATAAAATTTTTGGGCAGAGGCAAAGAAGAGAATTTGTTTGTAAATTAAAGCCTCAAAGTAATAAAAACAAGGTTGAATGACACATTTCATGTTTTAATCCAATTTTAATCTACGACAATGTCATTAGGACAAATTTAACATTGTCATTTGGATGTCATTATGGCTTTCATAATAGCACTAGTGCTATTATGAATTCATAATAACTCGCAAATTTTAAAATAAGAAACAAGCAAAAAAAGGTACCTTAGGAATACGTTTATTTATTGTAAACATTAATTATAATATCAGTACAGTTGGTTAAATTAATTCCAGACGATGACAGGTGAGTTGAATTTTTAGAAAGTAGATTTATTTCCTGAGTGCTTGAACTTGTTGAAGACCCATCATTGCCAGAAATGTTACCCAAAATATTACATGACATTTTTTTCTTATTTTCTTTGGAATTTTCTATATAGCTCTCTGCCACTGTGTTAGAGCGCCAACCACCATGTCTTTTAACAGTTAATAAATCCACTCCTGAATCTGCGAGTAACGACGCAGAAGATCTACGGAAACAGCGTCCAGTGTATTGTTGTGGATTTGGAAGACTTAGGAACAATGCTATTTTATACGGCATTTTCCCCAAAGTATTAATGCCAACGGGTTGCTTAATATATTTTCCATTTCTGTACCCCACAAAAAATCGAGTATGCTCTGTGTTGCTTGGCCGCATAGCTATATATCTTCGAACCATTTCCACCATATTTATTCCTTCAACATTCCCTTTCGTTATAAAAAAATATCGTGATATCTTTGTTTTCGTAAATGGAATAATGACATGAATGGTTTGTCCTTCATCTTTAACATTTTGCAGCTGCAGATTTGTCAACTCGATACGCCGGCAGGCTCCCGCAAGTCCAACTATCAATGAAACTTTTGTCAGGAAATAAGTTTTATCATCGGCTTCCAACAAAAAACGAGTTATGTCTTCTTTTCTTAAAATTATCTATTTTTTTGACCGAAATCTTTCCGATTTTCTTTTTATAAATGCAATTAAATGGACGTACTTACTAATATCTGTATTTTTCTTCACTGATATAACTGAACGTAGCATGGAATAATATACCCAAAGCGATGAAGCCTTCCTATGTTTTGAAAGATGTTCAAAATATGCCAGGAGAACCTTTTCGTTACTACTATTCTTGATTCCTTTCCCTTTACACCAATCTTCAAGTTACATAGGCTTGCTCGTACGTTTGTCTTGATTTTTCGGGAAGTAGGGAATCGACAACGTTTTGTGCAATGCCTTCAATATCCGAAGAGACACTTTCAGAATCAGAATCACCCATATTAATATTATTTTTTGCTTTTTGCTAAAACTGAACGTCACTGAACGTTTAATACAAAATTGTACATCAATAATTGAGTTGTCAAAGTCAAAATGGAAACAATCAACAAGCACGGTTACCATGGCGTCGACTAATATGGGCACCTGATAATTTTGAATTTTAATTTTTATGAGGATATCTCTGATATTTTAAATTTAATCAAATCTCTTTGGATCGTCCCTCGTGTCGCGTGGTAGATTAAATTTTGAATGATACACGTTCGATACGAACATCATAATGAACTTGTATCATTAATAACTATAATTTATTTACATTTAATAAATAAAACTTGAAGACAGGAAAAAAATCGGTTTAAATTAATTATTTATTCTATTTTATTTTATTCCAGATCAGAAAGTTGTTGCACCATAGACGTTTGGGGCATAGCTCTCAACATCACCCTCCAAGACGCACCTTTTCTGGTGTTTCGACTGCTCCTCATCACCCACTTCCAAATTATATCCTACATGAACGTGTTCTTCACGTGTAAGAACACCTTGGTGATCCTGCTTCAAATCTACAGACTCTACGTTGTCTACAGCGAGCATAACAAGAAAGAGGATGACGTGGAGCTGACTGACATTTCTATCATCTCCAAGGGCGATGTTTATAGTGGTAGTAGGAAAGGAAATAAGGGAAATTATAAGGAGAAAGTTAGGAAGGTGAAAAGCAGTAGAAGAGTGGAGTCTAGTGATGAAGGGGATAGTGAAGATGGCAGTAGTAAAAAGAAGTAAGAGTGTTTTAAGGTTTAATATAGTCTGTCCAATAAAAGGATACATGACAGTAACAGTCTGTCTTCTTAATTGACAGGTAAAGTGTATTTTCTATCATTTCTGGATGTCATCGGTATAAATCTCTCCTGACTCGTTGAACAAACTTTTAATCTCTACTAAAGGCTGTCAAAAAAGAATCAGGTAAGATTTTGACAGACAAAATATTGTGGATTTACAAAATTTTGTCTGACGACTAGACACAGGGACACTGAGAACACAGGTTCTCAGTCAGGTCAAGGTAAATTTCCTATTTTCTTTATTATGAATTAATGATGTAGGGAATTTGCAATTCAGCATAGTTACTAGATCTAGGAAATTTTCCCTAGATCTAGGTTCCTATTTCCTCTATTTTGAAGCCTCTAGGGAATTTGTAAAATTTCATGTGGCAACTCTGTATTCTCAGTCATGGTTGCCAGGTCTTGCCTTCCTCAATTTTGAAGCAACGATCTACGAAATTTACAAAATTTCATCTGGCTATCATGCTTGTTTTCTCGTAGTTGTCAAGTCTAGTAAATTTTTTATAAATGTAGTAAATTTTTCCTATTTCTTCTATTTGATGATTGAATGATCTAGGGCCTAGGGAATTTCAAGGCAAATTTCGTCTGGCAACAGTGTGTTCACTCGGTCATAGTTGCCAGTTAAAGGAAATTTTCCCTACATTTGGTGCACATTTCCTATTTCCTCTATTTCGAATCCATGATCTAGAAAATTTGTAAAATTTCATCTGGCAAACCTGCCCTTTCATAGTTTCCAGGTCTAGGAAATTTTCCTATTTCTTCTATTATGAAGTAATGATATAGGAAATTTACAAAATTTCCTCTGGCTATTCTCTCATAGTTGCTAATTCTAGAAAATTCTCCTATTTCCTCTATTTGATGATTGAATGATCTAGAGAATTTGCAGAATTTGCATTTGTTCGTCTGGCAATCCTCTCAGTCATAGTTGCCAGTTATTGGAAATTTTCACTAGATTTGGAGAAAATTTCATGTGGCAACCTTGTCCTCTCATAGTTGCCAGGTCTAGGAAATTTTCCTTAATCTAGGTTTTGAAGCAACGATCTAGGAAATTAGATCAAGAATCCAAAAAATTACAGAAAATTCTATTTACTGATGAAATAAAATGACAGACACAACTGTCATGTATCCTTTCGTAGGACAGACGTTTTAAATTTTTTAAGTTAAACATATCGGCTATTTTAAATTTTCTTTTATCCAGGTCTATTCTACTATCCCTTATAATACTTGCGCTTATTTAAGACCCACCCTGTATAGTTCCACGTCTATTAAGAGTTCTATTCTTATACCTGAAGAAACATTTTTTTTTATTTCAGAAAAGCAAAGAGCTTGAGAAAAGACACTGGTTACTCTACTGGAAGTTCCCATACCAGCACCAAACACCCCAAAAAACCTGTTGAATCCAGAGAAGTACCTCCCGACCAAAAAAAGGTGAACAAACAAAAACTAAGACGCTCAGACAAAGAAACGAAAGGCAGAAAAAAACTGGAAGAAGTTCTTTCCGAAGAAGACCAATCCAGCGAACATTCCTCTTACAAACCGAAGCAAAAAGAGAAGCTGCGGAGCGACAGATCGCAAAGGAGTTCGGAAAAACGAAAACATGAAAAGGAGACGGTGGTTTCTATTAGTACCGGCGACACGTCATCGTCTTCCACCGACTGACGCCATCAACTGGCCATCATGGCGATTTTCTGCTTGTACCTCTTTATATTTGTCTGTTGCCTGTTCTTTATCTACTGCGGCGTGGCTTCGGAGGGCTTAGTCATAGCCAAAGTCAACAGGACAAATAAAACTGTCATTTGAGGCGTTGAAATCGGGTTAGAAACAATGAATATACTGAGCGTGTCAATTTGATATTGATTGATAGCTTTCTAGAAGGCGAACGAAGTTGTGGAATACCGAAATGAGGCAGTTATTGATTCAAATGAAAATTTGGAAATTTTGATCGTTTTTTAATCTTAAGTTTTAGAAGATATAAATGTAGATCTATGCTAGAAATATTAGAAGAAAGAACCCTTAATGGTTCTATACAAAAATGGGCTAATACTTTGTATATATTTCTAAAAGTTCAGAATTTTATTGTTGGAGGAATAGAGAATGTCTAATATCTACTAAATACATCGCACAATTTTAGAAACAATGTGATTATAGTTTTTATAATTAGCAGTTGAACAAGTAGTACCATACGATCGAAAAACGCTTGCTTTTTTTTGGTCGTTTTTTTCATATTTAATTAGCATGATACCACCGCATACACCATAGGCGTAGTCAAAACATTTATCAAAAATATAAATATATTATCTTCAAACGGCTATGTTAAAAAATATGTGCCACGGCACTGTTTGGTGGTATGGTAACAATTTGTTATTCGTCCTTGTATTCTTAATTAGTCATTTGTGTTGACCAACCAACCAACCATGGTCATGTTAAAACACTACTTCACCAGTTCTAATCTCAAGACTTTTATTTTGACATTTTAACGAGTATTATATGGACAAATAAAATACTCGATTAGTTTTTATGGATAATAAAAAGTTTAATAAATACTTTATAAAATAATGTTGTATATGCCTTACTAAATGATTATAGTTACTAATAAAACATAAACTTTTCTTTTATTTTATTATTACAAAACCCCTTTCGTATAATTTTACGTAGGTATACAGACATACAGACTGGACCACCGTAGTAGCCTTGTAGTAGTAACATAGGCAGAACCGGACGAATTAGCGTGTACCCGTCCGCCGGATAAAAAGCAGGCGAAAAAATGCGATAAAATAAAAATTGGTAGGTATGAGATAAGACCGTTTAATTAGTGGATATTGAACTATTTTGTGGCCCGCTAGATCACCAGATCTTTCTCCCAATGATTTCTTTTTGTGGGGTTATGTAAAACCCAAGGTGTATGGTCATAATAGGGCTAATAATCTGGATGAGCTTCAAGTAAAAATTCGAGAGGCTTTCCAAACTATTAGCTCTAATATGTTAGCCAATGTCAGACGGGGATTTTACAAGGATTTTACGAACGCCTAGGCTTCTATGTAGCACAAGAAGGTGGTCTTTTTCAACACTTGTTATAACTTTTTTTTATTTAGAGTAACATTTTAGTTTTTTTTTTGGGTTTAGAGAATTTATTTATTTTTAGTTTTGGCTTGTAAACACACTAAAATAATAAAGATTTAAGTATTTTTATTACACTAACACTACATATTTCTGAATTGAATTGATAGATTACTGTCACTGTCCTTTTCTGAGGAGGTTATATACAGGGTATCTCTTAAATTAGTGCATTTTTTTAACTGGTGGATTATTTTGACCCCTACAAATACAGGAACAAAATCCATCAAATCGGGGAAGGTTTTCTTTATTTAGATTTTATCAAATAAAAAACTTAAATACTTGTTTTTTTTAATTAAATTAACTGCACATTCACAACAAAAATAATTATATGCCAACAAAAATTACATGCTAATTCCTAATTTCCAGTCCCTAACTTCCAACTACCAACTTCCCCACGCATTTTTTAATATCATCTTCTTTGTACCCGTTCAACAAACACAACAACGTGGTTTGATTCTTCAACAAATTGTAGATCCCATCGTTCGATGTTGTAGAAATAGGTTTCGAAGAGTCTTTAGAGTATAATTTGAAGAAATCACTCACAAAATCGAAGGTTGACTTTACAGTGACTTTCAGATCTTCAACTGGAACTTTCTTCTCGATCTTGCTATTCTTCGGTCTTCTTTTTCTGATGAAGTATTTTTTCTTCGATTTTCTTCTGATCTTTGGTGCGACTTCTATATAGCATTTCTTCTTTTCCTAGTTTCAAATAAATAGAAATTAAGATGTAAATAGATAAATGAAATAGAAATATGAGAAGAAAAATTTAATTTTTTCAATAGGTTTCTATTAAAAAAAATTAAAGGCGTGTCGAACTGTTATAGGATGTCGAACTGCACAGAGTGTCTCATTTTCGTGTGTTTTACAGAGTTTCTCGCAATGATTTCAAATTCGCCCTGTATTTCAGGAACTAGTCAGGAAGTCTAGGACAAAAATTGTATGTAGGATCTTTAGTTTCAAAAAAAAGTAGCGCAATGATGTGAACACTGCATTATTGTATCTTTACTCATAAACGAGCCACCCTGTAAAACGCACTAAAATGGGACACCCTGTGCTATAATTTGAAATACTTATTTAAGTGACACCTTGTACAGGTAATCAACAAAATCCCAAAAAAGCTTTGTTAAAACATACCTGCACCTGCTGGGTCTGACTAACTTGAATTTTCCTAATGGTATAATCGAATGGTTCAATTTTCTTTGTTTCTGGATTGTATTCTGGTCTCTCGTAAGCGTTGACAGGCCATTCTTTGAAGTTCTCATTGGACGTCACAGAGTTTGAGGAATTAGATTTGTTTTTGAAAAATACCTGTATATAACATAATAATTATAATAAAACTTTAAAAGGTGTACTACAAAAAGAACAACTGTATAATAATTACATTGACTACAGTACGTCTGTCCGTTCTGTAGCTACGGGGTATCCGTGAGAGGGGAAACGATATTCTCTCCATTTTTTTCGTAAAAAATTAGATGACGCGTCCCATCAATAAAAATTCGACAAATTTGCAAGTAGCCAATAAAATGAGTGGGCGGAGCGATTTGCGGTGACGTACTCGTCAAGTCGACGTATAAAATATATTGCTATTTATTTAAATGTTTTTTGTCCGCATTCCTTTCATAGACAGAGATCCAGCAGACGTACTGTATAGAATTAAGCTTGATTTCCATGTATCCGTTATCCGTTAATACGATGGTCCGACGACGCTCTGATTGGTCATAGCGTTTTCGCGCCACTTTTCATCCGTAATTTTTTTTACTCCAAACGATAACGGACGTTTTGACTCTTTTGACAAATTTAGTCTAACCGTAATGAAAAATAATAGTACAAGAGCTAGCACCGTCGGAAAACGAGAAATTTAAGAAATAAATCTTTCGCTATGCTCTCCTGTAATCTCCTGATCAAAGTGCGGGCCGTTTGGCTGCCGGTAGACTACTGCGGTTCGCTACTGCGCATCACATCTGTGCAGGGTATCCCATTTTCGTGTTTTTTATGGATTTTCACATTACTTTGTTACTTTTTTATGAAACTAAATATGCTACACATAGGTTTGTCCTAGCGTCCTCAGTTCCTAAAATACAAGGCGAATTTGTGATGCGCAGTAGTAAACAGATGTTGAATACAGATATGATTCGCAGTAGTGAACGCAACGTCTACCGGCTATTTATTAGAACGGTCCGCACTCTGTTTATGAGAGTATAGCAAAAGATATATTAAAATAACAGCTTAAAATCAAGCTTAATCGACGAAATATCGGAACACCCTTTATAGAGTTAGAATATTTATCACAAAACAGTGATATCAGAGGTGATATTTATTTGAAATAGATTCTTGACAGAACATCTTTCAACTTAAAAATTCTTTCAATTTCATTTTGAAACAGACATGTTTTTTTTAATTTTAAACACCACTAGTTTAAATTTGTTTTCGAATAAAAAACGGATTTTTGGCATCAGTCAACTAAAATCTTATTAGTAAATATTTTAAATGACGTCAACGTGCTGTTTATCATTTCGAAGTGAAATTCTTTAAAAATAAACCTTTTAAGAACGAATTTGAGAAACCTACCAGATTACTTTCGTCCATTTCATCCAGAACATCAAAATCCTCCTCGAGAAAATGCTCATTTTGGAGATGTCTCTTTGATTTAACTGACCTAGCTTTTCTCATTGGGTTTCTCCTGATTTCATCTTTACCATTCACGTTTAACTGTGCAGAAACGTGATTAGAACCTTCATTTTTATACTCTTTAACGAAAATGACATCGCTATCATCATCACTAATCGCAATACTCTCTTTGACTATCTTTTTATCACCGGCGTTTTCGAAAAACGTCAAATTGTTTACGTCAATGAATTCTGGCTGGTCGTCCTGTATACTTCTAAAAGTTTCAGGTAATTTACTAGAGCTAGCTTGGAGATTCACAGCTGTATCCGGATAATAACTGTCTTTTTGGCTCGAAGTGCAAGGTGTAGAATTAGAATAAAAGTTCTTATTGTCCAGAATAAGTGTTCTTTGCGAGACCGTGTCATTATTAACGGATTTAAAAACAAACGTGCATTCGTTTCTGAGATTCTGCGCCATGCAAAGCATCAAGGGGTCGTTGTAGTAAAGCATTGGGTCGGGTTCTAGCAAAACATCTCCGGAATTCATGCTTCACCTGTAAAATTAATAAAAAAAGTTTATAAAATACTTTTGCTTGTTAAAATGACGTAAAATTACTAAAAATACTTGAATAGTTATTTAAAATGGCAAGAAATCTAAAGTAAAACTTTTTGAGTTGATTAGAAGTGTTCTACTGTACCTTTAACAAGATATTGGCACAATATTTTCAGTCGGCTTTACTATTTCGTAAAATAGGGTTCGTAACTAAGAAACAATCGTATTTTTGACATATAAATAATAGAGTTTTATTAGTTTTTTGAAGGTATAGAAGGTAGACTGGAATTCAAATACTTGATTTTAGTTAAATCGTTAAAAGTTTGGTCTTTTGGTTTTTAGTAAGATAATCTTTGCTTAATTTGTTGCACTGGCAGCTGCGTTCAAAATGGTTTGAAATTTTAGGTATTTAATCCTTATCATGTATAGGGCGAGTCATATTAAAAACAGAAAAGCAGATGTAGATTGTAAGTTGTATAGGAGGGGGGAGTTAATCACCGCGACTTTTTAGATCTATTGTATTTCAAAGTTCATTCTTGAGTTATAACTCATCGTACAGTGTCAGGGCTTTGACGAAAGCCAGTATCTGAGACGGTTTTATAAAGGTTAATTTTCCATCTCCGATATCAGTCGTACCCAAGTTTATGTCAAGAATGGTTGAAGTCTCGACGCACTCAGTAATAAGGTGTTCTGGTGTTTCCCCATTTTCCCCACAGAATCTGCATTCGCCATTGTTTCTTAGCGTCATTCTAGCATGGTAGGTGTCCACTGAGGAGACAGTGTATTATTAGAAAACCCCGTGACAATCCGAAGATTGTTCTGACTTAAATCAAGGAAAATCTTTGTATTTTCTCTTTCCAGGTTATGGATGGAGTGTTCCTGGTTGAAGAACCAAGGGTTGCACTTTAAGTTGTTTTTCACTTAGTAAGCAGAACGGTTCTAGTCCAGTTAGTGGAGTGTTCGCTCCTTTTCTAGCTAGATCGTTTGCTTTTTCATTACCTTTATTCCTTGGTGGGCTGGCATTCAGGGTAGGAGTACTTTATTTTCTTTGCCTAATTTGTTCTGCTCCTTTAGGCATTCTTTGACCAACTTTGAGTTGATGGTTACTGAGTTGATCGCTTTTAATGCTGGTATCGGAAAAGATGTTGATATAAAATAAGTTGTACGCAGCTTTCGATAGCTTAGATTTCTGCGTGAGGGATGCTGGAGTAGACAGAAAACTACGCTCTCGAAAAAATGAATGCTCAATAATTGTTCGTCGTTCAGTGCCACAGTCACAATCAGGGGATGGAAACACATGACATTTGCTCAGACGACATTTCACTAAACAGAGATATAAACCACCATATTTTATTGACAAAACATTAAACGAAATACAAACCCCAAATCATAGACACAATTATAACAATACACAATATATATATACAATTTATAATTCCATATATACGAGGCGTTTCGGAATTGGTGAAACATCTAGACCCTTAAATGTTAGAATTAAAGATTATTTAAGAAAGGGAGATTTTCACAAATCTAAGATTTGTCTGCATTCATGGGACACAGGGCACAGAATAAATTTTAATAACGCCAAAATTATAATGAAAGAAGCGATAGCCTCTAAAAGAAAAATACAAAAGGTTTTTTAATACAATCTAATAAAAATGAATGTATTGCTCATGCATCTGTAGATGTTAGTAATGTATGGCAATCACTTCTTTGATTTTAAAGAACATAAGATAAATAAACATAACATACGTAAAATTTAAAAATAGTTACACAGAAAGTTTTGGGGCTTTTTGGTTTTACCTTAATAAGTAATTGTTATCAGGTAGTAATTGTTAATTTTTGAAGTTTAACTTGAGATAATGTCATTTTAACAGAATGTCAACGGTTTCTTGTAGACGTATCTGTTTTTATGAAACTAAAAAGTGTTCTCGAATAGTTGAATTTAAATATTTTAAATAGTTTTTTTCTCTATTCTATGTATTTTTTTTTGCTTCCGATGACGGAAAGAGATAAACTTTCCGAAACGTTAAGCATTTTTTTCTTTGTTAAGCAAATTTGTATAACTGTAAACATAACTTCTGATAAGCAGTTTCTGATTAGGTTTAACGCAGAAGTGTTTACAAAAATTATTTTATTTTGTAGATTTTCTTGCAGTGCAGTGGCGAAATACCCATATAGGATTTTTTGGAGAGATGAATCCGCCACATAGGTATAGATATTTTTTACATGACATTTGGATAGCAAAGAGCAAGAGTAGTCTTGGTTTTGCACAAAATGCAAGACCAAGAATAAGACCAAGACTACCTTTTATCTGCAAAACCAAGACCAGCACAATAAAAAAATTAATTTAGCTTTTAAATGCGCCTGGTAGTAACTTATTTTTGCCGCATGAATGGTCCTCTAAATCATGGAAAAACAAACCGGCCTTATGTTTTCATTATCCTTAACTATTTCCAGCCGAAAATTAATAAACAAGAGTCAAAGAACGCTCAAGGATAATGGCTTTGTCGTAAACTTTGGTCGTAAATAAGTTGGTCGTATGGCGCTGCGTGTAGGAATCCCGACTTTATATTATCAATGAAACTGTTTTTCGTACTAATTTCGGACGGGAAAAGTATCTCAATGCCGCTTGGTCGCCTTCGGAGTTCTTGGAATATGACGAACAGTTCGTGGTTTCCGAGTAGAATAAAAATCAGATTTAGCACGGAGATTCTCAGCAGCAAGGATATTTTGTAGTAGTGGGAACTATCGAATGAATACTATCGAAACATTCGATAGTTGCAATTCATTCGAATAATTCGATAGTTAGTAAGAAAACATTCGTTGAAAACTATTCGAATAAAAATTATCGAATAGATCCGTCATCTGCCTTGAAATATTGTTATTTTTTATACAAGACGATAAAATGGTATTTTTTAATTCTCTTTTGTGTCGATTGCTGATTGAATTGGAACCAGAAATGGCTCAAAAAGAAATAAGTAAATTACCAACAGATATTCAGGCTGAGGCGACAAACGCCATATCCGAACTACTGCCATTTAAATCCCGAGTAACTTATGAAAAGGAATAAAAAAATTTTCAAAAATGGAAGCAATTAAAAAACGTGCGAGAAGAAATAAAGTTTTTAACCTATCCTCGCTGTTAAAGTATCATTTCACCAAACAGTATAACACAAGTATCATTTGTGTTATAGTGTTTGGTAGTGATATAAACAAAATTACAAATACGGCTGGTAACATGAATATCCATATAGATAATGTTGCGATACCCATTGTTACAGAGACTAAAAATCTTGGAGTTTATTTTGATGCGAAGCTTTCTTTTCAGGCACATATAACTACTAAATTAAAGGCTGCTTATATACGGTTGAAGAATTTTTCGTCTCTTAAGAAATACATACCTTCAAAGACTAAGTATCAATTATGTGACACACTTATTTTATCTTTATTTGATTATGGCGATGTTGTTTATGGTACATCCATAAACGCTAGATTCTCTAGAAAAATCCAAATACTTCGAAACTCGTGTGTACGGTTTTCTTTTAACATTCCTTTTAAAGATCATATAACGCCACATCTTAAAAATTTATCTATTTTATCCATGACTAACAGACGACATTCATTTATCGAATTTTAACTACAGAGCAGCCTCCCTATTTGTTCTCATTGTTTCACTACGTTGACCATGATCATTCGACTAGACAAGTGCATTATTTTAAAATTCCTCAACACCGAACAGCTAACTTCCAAAAATCTTTCAGTTTCATAGCGCCACATTTGTGGAATAATATTTCTAATAACTTTAAATTTCAATCCTTTACAGATTATAAAAAACAAATTAAAAATCATTTACTAAATTCGTAACTATTATAATTTCTTCGACTGATTTGTGAGATCTTGTTCTTCTGATATGCCCGTCATTGGTTGCTGTTCCGGTTTTTACACTGTTTCATTATGCCTCTCTGCTTATCTCCGCTCATCCCTGATAAAATTATATTTTCACTTTTTTTATATAATTTTAATTTTTTTAATTTTGTTTATTTCTATAATTTAATTTATTTCTATTTTGTATTTGGGGCCGCACCACTCTGGCACTTTGTGCTATTGTATCGGGTTTTTAATCGCGGTGCGATCCCTTTAGACACACATTTATTAATACTAATATTATTCTGTAAAACTTAATGGGGTCTAATAAAGAAATTTGAATTTGAATTTGAATTTGAATTTCATCTACCTTTGCGGTTAAAGCACTATTTTATCTACTATTTTTGATAGATGTAAGGCAATTTTAACAGTTGCTATGAAAAAAAAATGTTATTGTTTTGTTGAAAATGACAAAGTTTCTAATTTGTCGTAGTTTTATTAGTTTGAAAGAAATAAGCCTTAGTGTGCGAATTTTATTTTTATTGAATAATATTTCGGGAAAAGGATAAGGTGTGCGGCTTTGACTGAGACAAAAATGCCTTAAACAAAACTTTGTTTTAAAAAAATGGCTTAAATTTTTAAATTTAATTGAAGATTAGTGATCATAATAACCATTTGAAATACATGTGGGATGAATAGAAGCAAACTTTAAATGGTGCGCTAAATGATGAAATTATCTATTATAGCGGTCTGGAAAAAATGTGGCGGTACTAATTTTAGAGCAAACTTGGTTATGGCCAGGCGAAAATATTTTGCCAAAAAACTGGCCAAAGATGCCAAAAACGAAAATTATTAATAAATATATATACGACCGGACGGTACTTTGTAACCTTTCCGCCGGCGATTTCAATTTTCGTAATAATTTTCGACTTTCCGCGATTCATTAAAATATTTTACAGAAAATTAGTTTTCTCGGTGTTGTGCTTTTACTGTCATTGCGACTTTGTAGTTTGGAATATTTTATTAGAATTTCGGAAATTTTACTAATTTACTTTTTTACATTTTCAATGCTGAAATATGCGAAATGCGCGCATACGAAAATATATGAGCAATTTTCTAAAAATTTCCACCTGGCGTAAAAAAACTATTAAGTCGCAATCTCCCATCTCTCTCTCTCTCTTTCTCTCTCTCTTTCTTCCCCCACCCTCCCCTCTCTTTTGGCATTTCCATAAAAGGAACATCAGAAAAGATCAGAAGACATGCGACAGCGTTCTCCTTGTGAGACTTTGGGAAGCTATGGAAAAAAACAATATAAACGTGGAGCTAAAAATAAAAGCAGTAAAATCATTATATAACCAAACAAAAAGTAGAAAAGTCGGCAAAAAGTTAACAACAGGATTTAATGGAACCAAAGGTCTGAAACAAAAGTGCTGTATTTCACCAACACTGTTCAAGATCTCACCAACACTGTTCAACACTATCTCGAACAAGTTCTCAAAAGTTATGGAAGCCATCCTCTATGGGAGTACCCATAGGGAATAAGATGTTCTACACACTGCGCTTCGCGGGTGATCAGGTGCTCATAGCACAAGATTGCGATGACATAAATTATATGACACGTAAGCTTATAGAAGAATATCAGAAATGGGGACTCGAGATCAATACTAACAAAACAGAATATATGTGTATCGGAGGAGAACAACAAGACATTATACTAGAAGAAGGGAAGAAAATTAAGTGCTGCACACAATACAAATATTTGGGTATGGAAATCACAAATGATGGACTGTTGGATACAGCAATTACAGAACGAAACCAACTTGGAAGGAATGCTATCACGGATTAAATGGGATACTGTGAGACAGAAGCATAAACAACAGGAACAAAATTCTAATATATAATACCATCATCAAGAGTATAACCAAGTACAGCTGTAAAGTGTGGTCAGTTAAGGAAACAACAAAACAAATGCTGGAAGCTACAGATATAGATTTTTGGAGGAGAGCAGCAGGCAAATCTAGATTCGAACGAATAACTAATGAACGCATAAGAGAGATTATGAAAGTGTCGTATACAATAGTGGACGAGATAAAGAACAGATAACTCATATGGTACGGACATAAAGAATAGCAGAAATAAGAATCCCAAAGCCAAATCATAAACTGGAAAACTGCAGGCAGAAAAAAACCGGGTAGACCGAGAAGAAGTTGGCAGGAAGGGATTGACACTTTTATGGAGGAAAGAGCTCTCGGAGACGGTGCATGGAGAGATAGACAGGCATGGAGAGATGGCATCGGAAGACGTATAACGTTTTAAACCGATTAATATATATAGATACGTCTCACCAAAGTGTCATAGGTTCGCTACCACTGGCACAGTAGAACATTCGCCAAAATTTATGGCAGACCTGATAATGAAATACAGAAAGATTTTCAAAGGTGTAGAAAGTCAATTAACAGAGAATTGTATAAACTTCTGAAACTGATGGAATTGACGGATCAATCTGAAGAAGAAAGAAAAAAAAACACAAATATTGCAAGACTTTTTATTGCAATACCAAGTCAGGACCAAAGGTGAGACCAGAGAAGAGACTAGACCACCCTGTATATTCTATCATTATTAATAAACAGGGAAAATATCTTACTAATCCTCCAAATCCGACCTTTGCTTTGCCGAAATATATCTTTAAATTTGACATGCGTCCAAAAAAAATGTGTGACTTGCCGGTCAGGAACCGGCGAATGAGATATTTCTGGAAAACACGCGCGCCGAGGAAGAAATAAATGTCAGCAAACGGTTTCTGATTAATTTGTATTATTAAGACTGGCTGAACCTTTGGCGCCACTTGAGGTCTTCCCTCACTCCACACCAAAAAGATATTTTTTGCGATTTCCCATTTATTTATAGAGGCAGATGAATGTTAAGGTGGGACAAAAAATAAAATTCTTGATCCAGGAATTTTCGAAGATGTGTTTATCGGTAAAGCGGATGTGGGCTATTAATATTGATTTTAATGGATTAAACTATAATGGATTTTGATTTGAATTAGATATTAAATTAAAAAAAAATGTGTGGGTTGTTAAGTTATAGATACAAGAAAAACTTTTATATAAATTGGTATTAAAACTAATCATTTAGACCTATTTTATAGTAAGTATACCAACTTTACCTAATAAGCCTGGTAACAAAATTATACAGCGATATACCGGGTGCTCAAAAGAGGCTCACCCCCTATAACTTTTTTATTTTTTCAGATAAAAAAAAACGAAATTTGGTACGTTAGTATATGACATAAATTGGGATTGATTGGTGTATTCAATTGTTTTTGGTCACTTCCTGTTTCACCGGAAATTACTACAACTTTTGATTTTTAAATGGCACCCTCGGTATTTTTTACTTTATTCGATAGAAAATGACATTCTGAATAGAATGACATATCATATGTCAACTTTTTGACATTTTCTCATATGGTTTATTTGAAATTGTAACATGCGGTTCATAAGGGTTCATAACATAGAAAAATAGATTTGATCGTCTAATATTTTTAGTGGCTTGTCCTGGCCAGTTAGGAAATTCTCAAATCGTATTTTTAATCATATCTCAATTTTTTCAAATGGAACGAGAGTGGCTCTTTAGCATATTTGGAAAAAGTATTTTTTTACTTTACTCTTGGGGGTCGAAGGCATTGTTTGGTTTTCAAATTAGGTTAAAATTTAGTTGTGAATAACTTTAAATTAGACCTTATTGGAGGAGTTCAAATTAGGTTGAAAATTTAATTTATTTCGACCTCATAAGTCGCTATTATGCTTCAAAGGTAAAAGTAACTTAGTTTTTTGACTTCGAAGAAAGTCAGAATTACGGCAGGTTAAAAATTACCTTTTTTAATTTTCTCGGGGTTTCCGTTTAAAAAAGTTTTTGAGGGATTATTACGTCATAGCACATTACCTTGTTCCCACTGGTTGGGAACGAAATAATATTCAATGGCGTTTCTTTTTTATTAGCGCCACAATCTTAAACGTGTCCATTAAGTGCAATATTATTAATATGGCATTATTAATTCCACAGCTACAGATGCCCGACGCACTATTGCCGGACCCTGTATAATAGTTGAAATAAAAAAAATGATCAAAACAAACCGTTGCGAATTATGAACTAACCGATCTTGGCACGGTCAATCCGTAAAAATAGTAAATACTTCTGTGATGAATGCTCTCGCTGAAAATTTTCGAAAAAAAAGTAAACCGGCGTGACGTAGTCAAAGACGCCGCGAAGCGTCTCGACGCTGATCTCAAGTATTTTTACGCATTCCACAGGCGGCGTATATTAGAAACGACGCCGTTCACAAATTCTTACAATATCTCCAACTTGCGCCAAAGAAAGTTCAGCAAGTCGAAAAAGTTTCGAAATTTGATAAATTCCAAGTGACATTTTGCAATTTTAGAAAGTTTTCGGTGTGCCTGTATAATTTTTGTGATATTTTTTTAAAAAGTTTTGGATAGTAACCATCAAACATGTCTACTTGCGTGGTAAGTACTTTTAAAATTTATTAATTATCAATTAACACAATATTATAAATGACATAGTCTGTCATGCTGTCATGGATAGTTTTATGATCTGGTGTTTTAATTGGTTATTTTTTCTCATATTTTTCTGAGCACCCTGTATAATATTTAATAAATTAAAATAAAAACTTAACTAGAATAAGACTTTTGCTAAAGAACAACAGGGAACAAAAATTTCTAAAAATGCAATTAATTCTGAAAAATGTTTAATTATTTTTCATTCTGCAAATATCATTTTTGACATAAAATTTGAAAATATTTCAAAAACAACTTAATTTAGGTATAGAATATTATATGCAAAATATATTTAGAAATTTGACGTAGAATTTAAAAATCGTATTTTACTTTTAGATATAAGAATTTATTTTCATTCCCTATTACAATTTAATAAAATTTATTTTCGTCCACTCTGTATGTTACACAAGTCCACATTTTAGTTAAGAAATTTAAAATAATATATTTGATAATATTTTGACAATGCTTACTTTTTTTATTATTACTTTCAACATACAATACGGATAAGAAATGTAAAATGTTAAAAAAATCCATCCGTGTAATCACTGTGTAAATTAATACAGACCAAAGTCATATTTAACATAAAAATGTTTGATTCTATAAATTTATAACATATACAACCTAAATTGTTCTTAAAATAATTTTATTTTACCCACCTGTTATAATTCACAAACTTCTACTTTTGTCCACTCTGTACGTTGCAGTTGCGATATTTGCGTGGCCACAGTGTAACTAGATGAGCGTTAAAATAATATTTTTAATAATATTTCGACTGGACTAAACTTTTTTCAATAACGGAACATTTTTTTTTCTTGGAGAGCTTTAAATTTCTTTATGTCAAGTTGACAGGATGCTCCTTTGTTTTTATCGACCGTAATGTTTGAATTAAAATTCTTTTATAAAGTAATAAATTACTTAACTAAAATTAATAATGGATTTTCTAAATATACTCACCTATATATAAATTTTCGAGATAATATAAATATTATCAATTATTACAATCAATAAAAATCAAAAAAAGGACCGAATATTGCCTATAAGTACTTGGAATTAATTATTAGATAAACGTCAACCTAAAACTGATTAAACACGACATAGACAGCTTGATTTCCAAGATAACTGTTTAACCTGTCATTATCTATTAAAAAATATTATCGAATTATGATATTATAAATAATTTCTAATCAGTATGAGAGCTTAATAGTCTGGAATGGCGGATACAAAGAACAGCAGTGTATTTATTATTTTAGAATAAATAGTATAAGTTAGGTTTAAGAAAATGGTATGTCAAACATATTTTTCTATAGTTTTAAGGGTTGAAATTTTTGATTTTTGAAATAGTTTCATTCTTATGTTAAAAATTAGATACAATTGCAGTGCAAGAGATATTCAGTGATTTTTTGACAATTGCATTCATTTTGTCTAAAGTCTATCCAGCAAGTGAATACAATGACAGTTGTTTTCTGTCATTTTAATTGATGGGTAAATTGTATTTTCTGTCTGAAATCTTCCCTGACTTATTGGACAGATTATAAATTTGTGTTGCCTGTCTTAATAAAATAATATACAGAGTCATAATAAAAATGCGATTTTGTTCTTTTCATAATTCAGAGTAAAAAATTTAGATTCTTTTATTAGCCAGTTAAGATCTGTGAATTACTATACAGGGTGTCCCAATATCCCAATATGTAGTGGATATAGAACTACTACGTATTTTTAAAAATAAAAATAAGTTATTATGCAGTAGTTCTATATCGACAGAACACTGCGACACCCTGTATATTCATCAACAGTGAAGCTACTTAAATTTGAAGTAGGTAACTAATGGCTACTTATTGTAATACGTATACTATAGTCCGTAAAACGAATAACTTTGAATTTGACAGTTCCCGCGGGCTTTTCAAGTGTTAATTTTATTAGGTTAGCAACTTGCGGCCATGCTGACGCAATGCCGCCTCTAATAGAACAGCCTCAGAGCGAGATTTATGACGTCACGCTAGTTAGATACTACGGATTAATAAATATGTTGTAGAATACATGGAAAAAATAATTATTCCTCGTATTATTGGTTTGTATTTTAAAAATGATATAGTTTACATGAAATATACATAATATACAGTTAATAAATACAATATATATACCTATTTATAGTAATAAATACTTTGGCAGATAAACTATAAACCATACAAATGCAGCAAATGTTTTAAAATATGGCTGAAATTGTACTCCATAGTCAGTGTAGAAAGTTTTTGTGTTAAGAATAATAATTTAAAAAAATATGTGGTCATCGTTTCACAAGTTTATATTAGTTTATTAATTGCAGTAAACATTATAATATATAAATAAATGTTGTGATTGCAAATAATAATACATCACTATTAGTAGATATTGAATGTTTTTTTGTTAAATTAGATCGATTTTCAAACCCCAAAATTTAAAATATATTTTACATTTTACGCATTATCTTATGTACCACATTATTTGTATATTGTAAAACATTTGCTGCATTTGTATGGTTCATAGTTTATTTGCCAAAGTATTTATTACTATAAATAGATATATATTATCTTCTTAATCTAAGTATATTATATTGTATTTATTAACTGTATATTATGTATATTTCATGTAAACTATATCATTTTTAAAATACAAACCAAAAATACGAGGAATAATTATTTTTTCCATGTATTCTACAACATATTTATTAATCCATAGTATCTAACTAGCGTGACGTCATAAATCTCGCCCCGTGGCTGTTCTATTAGAGACGGCATTGGTCTAATATTTACAAATGTCAAAAGCTGATGACATTTTACTTTTGTTAATTATGATATTTCGTGCTGATTTTTGCAAGAAGAGGAAGAACTGTCACTTGTTTTATTATTTTCCTTTTCTATTTCACGAAAGTAAAAAGAGTTACCTATCTGAGTCGTTCAGGCCAAATACGTTTAAATAAAATATACGACGGCCTCCCCATAAGAGCAATGAGAGGATTTACGTCCCAGTATTGAAGAAGGACAGAAAATCGAGTCGAATGTTCAAGACATAGGTTCATCCTTGTTTAGTCAAACCTCCTACAAACCAAGGATAGACTTATGTAGGAAATGCATTGAAATTCTATAGCCATCCTTCAATATCGGGACAGGAATTTAAGCGGTACCCTCCGTATACTTTATTTTAAACGTCTTTGGTTCAGGCACTCGATTTAAAGAATATCAGTAACTTTTTTTGACAGAGGGATTTTATATTTGACATGTTGGTAAAAATAACGGTCAAAATTCAAAGTTATTCATTTTATAGACTATAGTATAGATTTTTCAAAGAGTTCTAGAAATAGATTGGCAAGCCTATTGATGTTTGAGTAAAATTGCTAATTTCCGGATTCCATAAATCACTGGATCTATCCAGAAATATTGGATAATATTAACCTTGAATATATAAGAGCTTCAGTTTTTGATGAAAGCTATTAATAGTTGTATCGAAAAAAACATAATTTTTTTCAATATTCTGGATATAGAGGGCAATCAAAAAAATATTTGGCCTGCTTTTCAATAAACAGGACGTGGAAAAAGCTGTTCGCTGGTCATTTTGAATAATTCTTTTGACGTAACGACCACATATGATGTCTCTTGCCAACATTTTATATGCGTTTTATGTTGGGTATATATACATATACCTGTAAAATGAACTAGCCACTGCCAAAATAACCGATTAAAAAGAAAGCTTTCCGGCTCATTATATACACATCCTCAAACAAATAAACCGTTGACGCAAAGTCGAGAAAATCAAGAAAATGTTCTGGCAATGATTCAAAATGTTACGGAAAGGTCATTGTCAATTGTTCACCTTCTTTTATCCAACAAAAATGCATGTTTTCTGTACAGGGTGTCCTAATATTCCGTGGACATAGAACTACTACATATTTTCTGGAATCAAAATAATAATTCCTACCCAAAAGTTAACTGAAATAAAATTTACAAGCTTAGAGGGAGAACAATACACCCTGTATATTAACCTTTACTTTATCTTATTTATATAAATGTTGTTCTCTTTTGTTATAGGAGGCCGGATTAAAATCAAAAGTAGCTTTATTCAACAATCTTTCTGACAATCACACCAAAAAGCAAGCGGTGAACCCCTTCTCGAACGGCAACACTGTAGCTAGCTTAGGGAAACCAAAAATATCAAAGGAAGACTATGGAAAGTAAGTATGAATGAGAGACATGTTTTTTTTCTCTAAAATTAGCGTGCAATACTTGATAAATAGTAATCTAAAAATAGAAATTAGTTCAACAACAGTTTTCTTTCAAAGTACACATCATGTCAATTGATTATGTATAAAATAGTATCAACATTTTAAAATAGACTCATAGAAATAATCGTGTTTTTTCCAGGCCTCCAAAAGGTTCTCTATCTGAGCAAAGAGGGTTCAAGGCAACCATCAGTGTCTGCAGGGAGATGCTCCAGTTGTGTGAAGTGATCAACCAATTCGGGGAACCCTTGTTCGCTGCTCACGAGAAGAAAAATGACCCTAGGAAAGTTATCAGTTTTGGAAACCTTTTCTCGGTGAGTGATTTTACTGTATTATTTTATTATAGCCACCTTAGTGTGAACTATTAAGGCTGGTTTATACGTATTTAGTATTTAGTACTGGACCTGGATACGTGTAAATCAGTTTTAAACACAGAATATCTAGCTAGATATTCTGTGCTTTAAGTCATTTTAGTAAGTTGACAGAACATTTGAGACTACAAAGTATACAGGGTGAGTCAATAATAAGAGTAAAATTCCTTATTTTGGTTTGTTTTAAGAATTTTAAGAAATGTTATGATACACAATTTAAAATTATTTTTGTGTACCTATACAGGGTTCTTTAAAAAGTGTGGCGGATATAACATGATTTTTTAATGAACCACCCTATTTTTTTATTTTTAGATTAATTAAAATTCAAAAACTTTTTCATAAAAGTATATAGGGTGAGTCTTAAATAAGTGCAAATATTTTTAGGCGTAGTATCAATGTTGCCAACTTTCTGAAATAGAATTTCTTACAAAGACACGGTTAAAATTTCGCGTTATTTCTAAAAATTCCCACGTATTCTCAAATCCAATATATTGCTTTTAACACAATACACACATAATGCAGATATTATGTTTTTCATCTGAAAATTTAAACATTTTTAGATAACTAAAACTATTATCATTTTTTCGTTCTGAAAACATAGATAGTGCACCTTGTCGTTGACTCACCCTGGACACTGATGCGGATTTTTTATGTTTCATGTAATAATTAAAAAAATACCTAATGTCCATGCTTAAGTTTAAAGTCTTGTATTTATTTGTAACAATTTTCTTACAGATTTATACGGCAATCTCAGATAAAGTGGTTGGTATGCTTATAAGAGCCAGGAAATATCAGTTGGTTGAATTTGAAGGAGAATGCCTCTTCCAAGTAAGTATCTATCAATGACCTCTATCCATATTTTTATTCTTCGGTAATATTGTCAAAATTTCTTTAAAAAAAATTGTGTGCGCATATGATTTGAACATTGATTTGAATTGAAACTTCTTCTTACTTTCGTCTGTCTATCTGTCAATCTGAAGACTCAATTCGGGTACCTCTATCAACGTGCCGAGTTTGGTTCCAATAATTAAGAAAAATCTTGATGATTTCGTCCATTTAGAGGCATCATCGGTTCGAAACGTCGAGGGCGTCATCCTGTAGCCCAACCCCTATTATGTCGAAATCGATTCTCATTTTTCTTCAATATCAAATCCTTAGTCCCACCTTGATAAAGATGTAAACGAAACGTCGTATAAAAGTTTGCAGGGTGGGACTGTGTGCACCGTCGCCCACATAGCCTACCAATCAAATTTGGTCTCGATCGTACAACTTTTGACGTTTCTTACGTCAAAACTATCACAGTGACTCGTGTCATAGTGCACAAAACGTCATCAAAATATCATGAAAAGATGAGGCTCTTCGAGTCCCATCTACATTTAGAAGTTTCAGTTCAAAAAATTATGTGTGCACTAAATTTAAAACAATTAAAACTGTTTTAAACCATTTAAAACACCTTTTTTTTGTTTAAATATAAAAAATACCTGTTTTTTTAAACCCTTCTATATAATTTTTTTTGTTTATTTACAGAGGCGCGACGACCATGTACCAATCATCTTACTCAAATCCTATCCAGAAATCTACAAAATCCTGAACGAAAAAATATCAGCTGCCAATGCCCAACTTAAAGAAAGCATAGCCGTCTACGGCGACCTTGAAACAAGCACTGGAAACTATATTTAATTCTAGCTTTAATTTATTTATTTAAATTAATTTATTTGAGGACCACTTATTCTGTAAATGCCTGTAAGAAAACATCCACAAGTGCGAATGAAAAAAATATATATAATTCCAAGATTCTTATAAGCACATAATGATAGTGATTTAGGATATGTATAAACCTACAAGGTGTCCTGACGAAGACAAGTATTTTTTAAGCTCTTTCCCAGATAACATAGTACGTTATCTGTGGTTCTATATACAAATCCAAAAAAGTAGTTGGGACGCTCTGTATAAGGTGCTAAAGACACAGGAAGTATACTAGTGATATAGATGTAATTTGTAAATTTATTTATTTAGGTTGAGACACGCTGTATATTTTTTTTAATGTCGATATTTTTTTTAACTTATTCACTGTCCAAGTTGTATATTTTATCACGCAAATGACCTTACTAATTTAGGAAGAAATATATTTAATTAGAAAACATAAAAGAAGTTTCATTTGATCACCTTTCCAGAGAAATAAGTATTTTTTTCAGGATTTCCAGAGAAATAAGTAAAAAAAAACAGCAAAAATATTTTACGTATTTATTTTTAAACATTTTATTCAACATAGTTTTCTCTATATCTCTATAAAATAAAAATTCTTCAGAAGAACATATTTGCAAAAATATACAAAGAGAACAATAAGTGACATAAAAAACAGAAATTCTTCAAAATAGAGTTGACTTTTTAATCAAGAATTAAAACTAATAAAAAAACTAGAAAGAAATCACGAGAAAATTATCACTTTGCCTAAATAATTTGGGCTTAAATTAATATTTACAACATATCATAAATATATTCTTCTTAAGCTTAAAAAAAGTATTGGTTTTAAAAGACACATAGGTGTTTAAATATATAATATACTGTTATTTGTATATATAGTGACACTGAAATGAATATTGAACTTTAAGAAAAATGTTTTTGTTTGATTATTTTATTGTATATTAAACCTAAAATTGCTCTGGAAATATTTGTCTTCATTGCATGCTGAACTAAAATGCCTATTTTTGTTCATGGGTTATTATACAGTATGTCCCCAGATTGTCTTTTCAAGAGGAAAAACTGTCGAAAAATTATCGACATTTTGAGAAAAATGCATTCTCCATACAAAAAATTTGCTTGTTCTAAAATTGTTAACAATTGTCAATTATTTTTGATATACAAAAAACCTTAAATATGTTTTTAACATTAATTTGATTTTAAGCAAAAATAAAATATTTTCAGAGCATTTTTGGGGATTTTTATCAATCTATGCTGTGTTTGTTTTCCTATAATTCATCTTAATTTTCAATATTTAACAACTATTATTCCTTAACACATCAAATAGCAATATATTTTTATAACGTTACACATAGAAAATTCGGTTTTGTTCTTACTAATAAGCAGTTATACAGGCTGTCCAAAAATACTGACCACAGTTTTTCATGTGATCATTATTTTATTGCATCTGTATATGAAAATTAAGAAATAAACGTTCAATCTCTATTCTCCATCTGTGATATGTAACTAAATTAACTATTTGTAAAATAAAATATACAAATCTAAATCACGAATAATTTAATACTAATCAACATGAAAGCTAGTAAGCAAAATATTTGGAGAAAAGTTTTTTAGGCCGAAATCATATAATCTATTATTGTCAATATTGTGATAAAATATAAAAAGCTACAAGCAAATCATGAAGCATATATCTGGCATGTTATAAGTTAGTCAAGTTATATTCCCTGTTTAAGTCACAATACACACGCAATCGGTATGTTCTAAAATAGTGTACATTCCCTTTATACAGGGTGTCAAATAAATAAGTGCAAGTGTGGTAGATCTCCACAAAAGAAGCAGTTTAAAAACAAATTAAAAATAACCGAGTTCCAGAATTATTGTAATGTGGCAAAATACGTTATACACAAATGCCACCATATTAAATCTGTCTTCCAGATGATGCAATACGTCGAATCGAGGCATACCAGTTGCATATGTACTGTGGTTTAGTTATTGTTTTCCTTCCATATTCTGGAATAATTTTACTCAATTTAGAACAATTGTCTATAGTTTATAAGTAGTTATTTTGTTTATAGCGGAATATTAAAATGACCACGGTTAATAATATAAAATATAAAATTGCGACTAGCAAAAATCATTCAAATCAAAAGACTAATATAATATATACGCTTTCAATTTCATATAATCAGTCTCATGTGCAGCTACCACAGCTTAATAACTTTTAGTCTCTCTCAACAATTATAACACAGTAAACCTACTTTACAGTAACCACATTTCAACTAATATTACTTTAGTACTCAAAAGTTAAAATTACTTTGTACTGGAACTGTTTTGTCAAACTCTGGAATCTTAGAACATTTTAAGGGTCACAAGAATAAATTATTGAGTAACTATTCCAGTAGTCCTCCAACAGTCCCAAAATTATTTGACTTTATATTGTTTTGAACAATGTTATATTAATTTTCTTTGTTTACTGTCAGTGGTTTGAATATTTTATAGGTCAGTTTGTTTAATTATATGTTTAAGATTATAAAGTAACCTCAAAAGAAACGTCAACTGTCTAGAAATGTCCCTACTGAAAAGTAGGGTTAGCTGTGCTATATAATAAATCTTTGACAATGTAGTTTAGAGCTAGAATAAAAATATTAGAAAGCCATGCAAAAACATTAAATAATAAAATAAAATTACTGAAGAAATGTATCTTTAAAAATCAACGTAAAATATATCTATCGTTACATCATACTGTTCCGTTTAAAATTTTATCAGCACCAACGGACATAAACGCTTATAAGTTTGTAAATATATAGATATCACACATAAAGTTCGCACCAAATAGAAATATTTTCTGAAAACATGTCAAATCTATGACAAACGAATATAGTTGAGTAAAGTATATCCCAAGTAGCATTTTCACGACTTGCGACCACATGTTAACTAAACACAACGTTGGATTAGTTACAAAAAATAGTTAGCTCCGTACTTTGGGCATTAAAATAAATGTAAACGTTGTTGTAACGTTGTGCCGACGTTGAACAAGTACTACAACAAAGTAAAAGCTTCTGCGACTTCGAATAAACGTTGTCTTGTAACCTTTTTTGAGTAAGTGATATTTAGGTGATTCGGACAACGTAGTTACAATGCTGGGCAATAAAGAGTTTTCCGACGTCACTTTCAGGACCTATTCCAACGTTATGCAAACGTCGTCTGTTTTACTAATTCCAACGTTGTTTAGATTTCCTTATTCTTACGTTGGTAGGACGTCGAGCCACTACCTTTTTGTAACTGTATTGAACCATAACCTTAAATCTTAAATTTTCACTTCATTGTTCTGTTCAGTCAGACAGTTCAGTGCTGCTTTTGTTTTTATAAAAAAAACTTAATTAAAATGGGACATAAGAAAGGTGCATATTATAAAACTAAATTTAAATATACATCAACATATTACCGATACTTTATCCACTCCCTCGTTTGTTTAGAATATAGAGGGCGGCACAAGCTAGACTCTAGGATGACTTATTAGGCAATCTTGCGACTACTCGAACTACTCCGTCTTAATTTCCAAAACAACAAAGTGAAAGCCGCCCTGTTGTTGAATAAGAAAATGTTTCGTTCCTAAAATAGCAATTCCTGCTTTTTGAATACATTAACTTGAAATATTTGACACTAAATAACACGCGGAAACAATTTTTTCGACTGCGAATAAATTATTCTCATTTTACTAAAAAAAAATTCAAGAAATTTTTTAAAACTTCTTTAATTTTAAGGCCCATTAGTATTTTTCAAAGTAGAAACAATACATTTATCAATAAAGTTGTTTGCGTTTAACTTTTTTGCCTTGGGTAACGAGTTACAGATTCGGTTAAAGTGTTTCAATAATTATGATCTTCAAACATCCTCCACACTTAAATACTTTTGTTTTGTTTTCCTTTACTGCCATCTGGCATATGTCTCTAACTAAATCATAAAAATAATATGTTTACTATAATTATCCCAATTTAGGATAAAACGCGACTTAGACGCCATATTATTATAGTTTTGTATTTCTGCGAATTAGGATTTTAAACAACGTTGCCGTTTGTACTAAACGACAATGATGTTAGGAAATTAGTAGGGATAACTTGGGTCCGCAGAGCCAACAATAGACAACAATGGGCCCAACTACAAAGAGAGTATCTAAATATGTGAGAGAGGCTACACTATAATTGGAAATGGTTGAACAAGCTGAAAACAAAAGAAAATAATGATAGCTCCTTCCTTAAGTCAAACCTGAATAAATAATTTACATTACATTAACAGTTAACATCCCTATCATTAGGAAAAAACTACTATTTGATGCGAACGCTATGCCCATTACACACTGTAAATACCTATCTATAATAGTACAGTTAAGGGACTAAATCCTTCGTAAAGCCCCAATAAATAATACCTATCACACAGCTTCATATTGATGATCGTCGTTAAAACACCGAATATATCTCTTTCTCTCTCTTTTTGGATTTGATACAGTGAAATAGTTCAATGCTCTGCCGGCAGAGGTCGTTGCCGCAGAAGGTACACGTTGTGCGCGTTTAAAAGAAGCTCTGACGTCACGTCTTGCGCGGCGGAGGGGGCGGGGCGGGACACGCGTGCGCCCCCGAGTTGCTGGGAATGTTCTCGTACAGCATCGGCTTGATCATCTCTTCGGGAGGTCTGAAAAAGAGAAAAAAATCTTATTGCAAGGGGATTGGTTTGAAATTATGTATAATTTTATATAGATCGTCAAAAATGCTTTAGTTAGAATAGTTTTTATTATTATGAGACACTGTCAAACATGTATTAATTTGGTTTAATTATCAGTAGTGTATTTAACTTGTTAGAATCAATGTTGGAGAGCTTAGGAGAGCGTCAAATACTATTCTCATACTACAAAAGAACTAACTAGCAATTTATTTGACGACTAAAACTGTAGGGAAATCATTAAACTCATCTTCAAAATTGAAAAAACATTCTTATATTAAGAAACCTTGTTAATAAATGACAAAACGATGATCGGTGTTACCCCTCCAACCCAATGGGATGAACAGAGAACAGAAACGCCATGATATCAGTTCTTTATTAACTTACAACTCGATTGACAGCTTGCCACCACAGCTCAGTCGTCAAATAAGAGGATTACTACGCTATACACGACACTCAACATCTAATATGAGCCTGAAACAACATGATGTTAGTGAAAATGACGAAATATGAAAATGACGTATGATTACTTTTATGTATTTTTATCTACCTTTGCAGTTGAAATTGTTTTAACCCAAACTTATTATTATTTATGATATACATTAAACATACAATGTACTATAAAAATGTCTGCTAATAAACTATGAATAATAATAAGTGAACACATTTTAAACGTATTAGGGCAGAACACTTTTAATAAGTTGTATATGCAGGATGTAAAGACGTATAAAAAGCATATTAATGTTATGTATAGATCATACCAAATAAACTTTTAGTGACGTGATTAAGCTTGACCGATACAGCGTTGCCCACTTTTGCATATTTTCTTTTAATCAAAATATTTTAGGAAACAAAAATAAATTAATTTAAAATATATAAACAGAACATATGTATATTTACATCAACAAAACTGACTGCAAGGTCTGCTAGTAAAATTTTTTAAACTTAAAGTATCACAACACAATTCATTTAACCCAAAAACTCCATATTACTTATAGTTCTACATTGTGTCACCAAAAGTTGTGTTTTTTGTAGTGGAACACTCTATATATTAATTGATACTCGGATTCTAGGAAAAAAACAAAGGCAAGTTTGATTAGAAAAGCATTGACTAGGTTTCTGACATATTTGACATTTTCTAAAAATAAAAAAGCAATTTTAAATTTCAATAAAAGCTACCTAAATTGGAATTTATCCGGTATAGCATAATATTTCGTTAAAATATTCATTGTACTTTAAATCAAATTAAAACTTGACCCGAAAAGTTATACAGGGTGGGACAACATTAATATTGAACACTGATCACTTTCAAAAGCAAGTTACTGTTTTATTTCAAATGAACACCCAGTATATTATTCAGATATTCAATGAGGACTCTTCAAAACACTACTAAGGTGGTCTACCCCTCAGACAAAGATTTTCCTAGATATTTTTATTTGTATGATTTGATGTTAGTAGATCTTTATTATTTGATAAAATCTAGGTGGCTGTGATTATTTGAAAATTATTTTAAACCAAAATGTTAATATTTATAGAAGACACTAACCAAACAATAAGCTATAAAAATGTCTGCGAAAATAAACTATGAATATTAATTAATAAGTAAACAAATTTAAAACAATGAGTAGATTTTATTAAGGCAGAAAACCTTCAATAATTTGTATATACAGAATGTAAACACGTAAAAAAGTGTATTAATGTTATTTTCAGTTAGTTAAAAAACAAAAACTAAAGAAAGAATTGTTTTGGCCTTGAACTATTTGACAACCAGATATATGTTTAAAAAAACATTTTGATGTTCACTGGAAAAAAAACTTCTGAGAGTCAAAGTACTAGCGGTCCTCAAACAACGTCAAGCGCTTAACAAAAATAACCCACAAATATGATGATTTGACTGTGATTTCGTATAAATATCAATGAATTGTTACTTTTCTTACCTGGGAAGTGGTATTTCCGACACTATTCTAGGTGGTTTTTTCGCTTCAGGCCTCAAAACCACCGGACTGGGTGACTGTGGAAAATGGGGCGTGCTTACTGGCCTACCGAGTGAACCGACATTCCCTAAACTTCCAGAAAGGGCTGTGCCTAAACTACCCATATCACTGCTGTACCGAATGTTGGTATACTCTCTACCGGACTGTATTGATTTCTAAATAAAAAATATTTATATGGAATTACAAATAAAATATATAATAAAAATTTATACTAACTTGTTCAGCCTTCATTCTTTCAGTCGTCGTTTCTATGTGATGTTGCACAGCTAAATACACGAACTTATACTGAGCTTCTGTCTGGACCATGCCAGACCGCTGCGATCTGACCATCTGAATTGTACGCTGAATATCAATTTCACAATCGAGACCGTACTTTTTCAGTTGATCTAAGATCATGTCTATGACTATAAAAGTACCGGTTCTACCAATACCTAAACAACATCAAATCAAATTATAATAAAAATAGTTTAATTAAATGAATATATATGTTTGTACCTGCTGAACAGTGGACTAAAATGGCTCCAGGTGGTTGGGTATTGGGTAGTTCTTGTTGTAGTTGCTCTTGACGTTTGTTAACTTCATGAAGAAAGTTCAGAACGCATCCTGGGTCTGAAGGAACTCCATGATCTGGCCAGGCCTATACAAACCAAGATTATAGAACAATGAAGGTATGGTAATCGCAAAACATTTTCCGATGCACGTCATCAATCATATTGACATTGACGAATAAAGTCTATAAACCTGACTAAATAAAATTTTGGCAAAAATGTTTAAATTTGTTGTATAATTTAAGATACCGAGCAGCTCTTCATTTTACTTTATATAGCAAATGATTGTAACAGATATTTTATTTAGATTAAAGCTGCAAAAATTAGTTTAAACCGAATTTTATTATCGCTATGTTTTGGTTTGGTTGATCTTGTCGATCTTGTCGTTCGACAGACTATATGTAACTCACTAAAAACTAAATAATACTTACAGTAAAATGATAGTGGAAAACTTTTCGTTCAACACTCGAACCTTCCATAGTAACCATGAACTCCCTCAGAGTATAGTGCGGCGTAGAGGACTCAATCAAGTTCTTAACCACTATATTCCCATACCCTTTCGAACCATTCTGATCAGGCCAGTATCTAGCGCACTTATTTTTGCCCCTCTCTGTTTCTTTGGTAGTCATGACTATCACGCGGCAATTTTCTTGCCACACCATTTGCCAGAAATCGGCCACCGTGGAGGGTAGGCAACCCTGCGTGGCGATGTAGACCTTTCCGCTGGGGTCGGCCCCAAGTTCTCCGCCCATGGTGTCGTCTGATTTCCATTTAATATAGTTGGCGTTGATGTAGTCTGCACCCGCTTCGTTGAGGTCTACGTTTTTTAGTTTCACCCTTGTATCATCAACTGTAATAAGAAATAAATAATGATATAGTCTGTGAAACGAATAACTTTGAATTTGACAGTTCCCGCGGGCTTTTCTACTGTTAATTTTATTAGGTTAGCAACTTGCGGCCATGCTGACGCAATGCCGTCTCTAATAGAACAGCCGCGGAGCGAGATTTATGACGTCACGCTAGTTAGATACTACGGATTAATAAATATATTGTAGAATACATGGAAAATATAATTATTCCTCGTATTTTTGGTTACATTGATTATGGCTGAAATCGTACTCCATAGTCAATGTAGATAGTTTTAGTGTTAAGAATAATAATTTTAAAAAATATGTGGTCATCTTTTGACAAGTTTATATTAATTTATTAATTGCAGTAAACGTTATGTGGTGTTATTTTATATGTAATTTTTTGGATTATATTCGACACTTTTTTTTTCATATGACTCAACACTGATGAAGGCTATGTTAGCCGAAACGTTTTTTTAAAACCCAAAAAAATAATGAAAACCCAAATGAAAACTTAATTAGCGTTTTTCCCTTACAGCGATCCCGACAGCGAATGAAAATGCGTGAGTTAAGAGCTTCTTATCTCACTGACGTAGATAAAATAAATTTAAAACATTCCTTTTGCAAAAAAAACAAGAGTTTGACCATTCAATTATTATTCATACGTTGGAGGGCTCTATGTGTACTTATTTTTAATATTTACTTACATGGTAATATATTTTTGTATCTATTCTTATTTCTATTTTCAGCTTTGCTGCCTTCCTTCCTGGAATACAAGTGTTTAAATTCTTGCTGTTGCAGTGATTCAAACTCTTCCCAGAATCCAGCCTTTCCAAAACTATTTGGTCCATTCTCAGACTATGTAATAAAACCAAAAATTCAGTTAGGTTAGGTTTGATAATTTAGTTTTTTAAATTATTAAAGGTTACATACCTGTAGCTGTTTTACCCTGGAATGTATGCCAGAAGCGTTGATTCTGGTGGCATTGAAGGGTTGTTTTAGATGAACTACCGTTCCTGACGTTTCAACCATAGGGTTCTTCTTGTAGTACTCTATCAAGTCGGCTAGGGTGTTGAATTGTTCTCCACCACCAACGTCGTATTTGTTGTCCTAGAATAAAAAACAAAACACTGTATACTCAGACTCATGAAAGATGGCAATTGTGTAAGAATACTTTTATTCGAAGACTTGGGGAATACAATGTTTGGGGGGAACACAAGGAACAAGATACAACTTTTCATCAACATTAAACGGCCTATTCGATTTTGCTAGCACTAGAAAAAAATTCAGTGCCCCTTTTACCCTCAAAATTTCATTTCAATCGCTAAAAGCACTTGGAAGAAAATTACAATAAACCGAAAAAAAGTTAAGACAACCTAACTATGTTGATATGAAAAATAAATCTTATTTTTCTTAATCTCCCCACGAGAGATGGCACATGTTTTATGAAATACCCTGTATAAAATAAAATTGAAATCAGGAAAAATCAATCTTCTTTGAACAAAAACAGAAAACACTAAAATATAATTTATTTTTAAGTGAATCTCTACGCATAACTGACTACTCCATTAAATCGTAAAATAGTAAAAAATGTCAAGGTTCTTCAATTATAAAGCGCGAATTGATGTTTACATTTTTTTCATTGCGATTATTTAAATCAATTAAAAAGATTACTCACCGAAGTGCACCTGATCATTACGTGAGTCACTTTGTCGTCAGTCCTTACCGAAAGAACGAAATCGCCGGGCATGGACTGGCTTTCCCTGACTAAGAAACTGCCGTTTTTTCCTCTATCTAGTATTAGTTTTTCGGCTTCTTTGCCTGACAAATGTCCATGGAACCATCTGTAACAAATAAAGAAAATTGTTAAGAAAAATATGCTACATTATAGGTTAACATTGAAAGGTACAAAAAACATTTTGAGGTCTGCCGAAAAACGAAATATTTTGAGCGATACTGCCAGTAGTCCTCAAACAGTATCATATACAGGGTGTCCCAGGTGGCTGAGCGTGCATTAGAAGATTCTAGAGAACTACAATATCTATATTATTCGAATATTCAATAGAGAATTCATGTTTCGCAAAATACTCTACTAAGGTTTCCCACCCCTCAGACAAAGATGTTCCTAGATACTCTCATTTTTATGATTTAGCGTCAGTAGATCTTTATTATTTAATAAAATCTAGGTGACTATGATATGTCTAACGTTAATTTAACGAAAATTAAACGATTTAGCCGTTTTTCAACAATTAAATTTAAGATTTTTCAACAATTTTCTTGAAAACATTTTATGTATCACTTGTATTAGATTTTCAAGAATTGAAAAAGATTATAAATTATATAAATAAACATAATCGTTCTAATAAAAACCCATTGGGATTGTAATAAACTTAATAAAACCACAGAATAAACTTTATATAACAAAGTAATCGGGGTTTTCTGATTCCCAAACAAATGACTGCCTGCACAAGGCATCACGAGCTCGAATTATTAAGGCATCAAATTAGCGGGAAATTTCACTAGCTAAAAATAGACAGTTTGATAAAAATAATGATTGTTTACCTGTTTTTTTTACGCAATTTGATGTACCGTACATATATCATGTTACAAGGCATGTATTTTAACCATTAATTTAATAAGTACCTACTATTTTCGTTATTGCATATAGTAAAATTACTAGTTTACAACTTATAGCGCGTATGTAACAGTTAAAAAAACTGCATTTCGGGGAAAAACATGAATCTACGGTTATTTACAAATCTTTGGTGTAATATTTAAAAAAATTTCAATGAACTCTACAAAGAAACTATTTAAACTACTTATTTATTTGTTTGTTTTGTTATAGACATGTATTAAAATTAAGTTAGGTATGCACTAATTTACCATAAATACATAAAAGGGAAATTAAAACAACTTTCGGTGCACGTCATCTTGCGTCGTCATGGAGTTTGCTGGTGGTCGTATTATGATGTGCAACCAAAGTTATTTCAATTTCCCTATGTCATCATCTAACATCATCAGCAGATGATTATAAACTACTTAGTTTATAATCATCTGCTGATGATGCTAACATGGTTAGCGAAACGCGCGTCCAGTGTAAAAGTAAAAGTGTTTTGGTGTATTGTGGTGATTTAGTGTTTTTATTTTGCTGTTTAACACCAAAGGTTCCAACCCTCAACGAGAACCATTACTCGCAGCGATTTTTACCAAGAGACCTTTTTTACGTAGAAAATGTCGTAAATGTATATTTTTTACTCAGTAGTTTTATACAGGTACGGACGAAAAGTTATTAGTCTTCAAACCAGTTAAAAAATATGTAGGTGGCGCCCTCTACAAGTAGGAGTCGTATTGACATAAAAATGAAATTTCTGATGTCAAAAAACTCCCAGATACCAATTTTCATCCAAATATAAACGTTACTTCCGAAATTATTTGGAAAAAATCGAAATAAAAATGAAATTTCTACACCCTGTATCTTCGAAACTAAGCATTTAAGGACATACGTTTATACGAACTTTTTTACTCATTTTTATCTGCAGAATATGCTGCCGAAGTTTCCGGAATACAGTTCCGTCCACCCTGTATATTATTATACACCAAAGCTATTACAAACACTGTAGATATTGTAAAAAAAACCATTTGTCTACAGTGCTCGAGAGTGCTGAAATTTAAATTCTTCAGCAACTATAATTATTAATAGTTAATTTATAGAAAATAAACATTCAGCTTACATATTAATTAACTCTTTAAAAATCATTAAAAACATATTTAAAATATATTATTTTAACCCATTTTATTACAAAAAAAAAACAATTTCATTGACTCGCTAAAATTTCCAATTAACAAATGAGATTTTTACCTTGGTTCTGTCAACTCTTTCTTTCCGAGAATTGTTTATATGTATTTTAGCAAAAATGAGAAATAAACATCTTTTTAATGAAAAATTAATAACCAAACGTGGTAGAATACTTGTTTTGAATATTAAAATTTAAATATTAAAATAATAATATCACTTTAAATTAATGTAAACTGGTTTTGATAGTGAAAATTGAGAAGTAGAAAAAATATCTCACAATGATGGTGTAACTTTAAACCATATTACCGATTTATATAAAAAAAAAAATAGTCAACATATCGACAATAACATGTTGAAATCCTTGGCACTCTCAATAGACCAAAACTGGTAGGAATAAAAATATTATACCTATGTATATGGCATGTCTGGTAGGTATGTTGTAAATACCAAGTAATGACAGATTAAAAATAAGTGGATTGAATAAATAAGATGTTCTCTGTATCATCATCATCATCACTTTCAGCTTATTCAACCAATTCCAATTATGTTATTATTAGAATGTCTTCTGTATACAAGATTAAGAGTTATACATATATATATGATATATAAGAGTTAAGACCATTTACAGGAGCACTGAATGGCATCTGGTGGGACAAAAACAAGACCAAACACAAAATTACATATTGGAAGAGCCCTAGTGGAGTCGGTAGTAACTTATGGGTGTGAAGTTTGGACCTTAAAAGCTGAACAAAAGCGAGCTTTAAAGACGCCTTTTTCACATTTAAAATTGACAAAATAATTAACTCAAAATTTCTCAGCTGTTATTTTTATAAGTTTACCATAGGCAACTAATAATACACACTATCTTAACAAAGCTTTGACAAGGACTACAATGACGTCACAACTCACAACTGTCAGCTGAAGCGCGGGAAGAGACAAACGTACGTCTTATGAGGATGAGCAATCCTATTAGTTTACCGTTCTTGAGTTGAGACAACCCTGGAGTATATATACAGGGTGTCCCAGAAATAAGTGCAAATATTTTAAGGAGTGGTAGATCTCGATAAAAGAACCATATCATCTCTTTATCGTTTTTCAAATAAGTCCAAAATAACGATGTTATTTTACATTGAAAATTTTCAAAAAAAAATGATTTTTTGCTAAAATTTTGAGAACCACTGGATCTTTTCTGGATTTTCTTTCTTGTAAATTTAATCTAATACCTATGTTGCCATATTATCAAGAAATTATGTTTTTTAACTAAACAAATTTTCAAATTTTTTTTTCGCGAAGGCGCGTGTTTCTGGGGTTGAATTATACTGCCAGTTAAAATATTTGCACTTATTTCTGGGACACCCTGTATAGTTAAGACCATTGATGTAACTGGAGGGGGGCCCTGTAGTGTCGGGCCTACCCCAGTTACTGCTGGGTACCCTCCAGAGAAATCCTGAATTTTGACTGAAGAAACAATGACAAGCAAATAAAAATTAATATTTAGCCAAGACTCATACCTTGGCTAAATATAAATTTTTATTTGCTTGTGGTCTAGTAAAAATGACTTTTTCGGGTTTTGTTAAGTCAATATTATTTTGTTTTGTTCAAATAATGTGTTTTTTGTTAAGTTTTTATTTTTTTTACAAAGTTTGTAGGTATTTAAGTAATCAACGAGAACACGAGTTGATAAACCAAGTCCATCACATTTTATTGAAAAAATTTATCAATTAATTAACTTATTATAATTATTATTAATTTTTAATAATTAACTGTGATTTTATAAAAATATTATTAGATTTATTATTAGATTAGTTTGCATTTTAGACACTTTTAAATGATTTTTTTTGGTTCAAAAGTGCTTCATCCAAGAATTTTTTTCTTTTAAACAGCAAAACTGTAAACTGTTCTAAGCCTAGGACTTTAAAAAAAACCAAAAATTTTTTTTTGCTAAATTCGTGGGTACTTATACTTTACAAGACCCAAAATCGAAATAAAAATGAAACTCTACACCTTGTATCTACGGAATAAAACATTTTCGAAACTCTACACCTTGTATCTACGGAATAAAACATTTTCGGACATAAATTTATATGAACTTTTTTACATAATTTCCCGGAATACAATCCGGTCCACACTGTATATTCTATTTTTAGTCGATAAAATGTTAAAAACAAAATAATATCCATAAACAAGCAAATCAATAAAAACGGTTACCTTTAATTGAATCCTTCTGGGATTAACCGCAAGTATCCTTGGTAAAAAACAGAGGGGAAAAAAGCAGGAACTATTTTAAACAATGGAGTGTGATAAATTAGCTCTCGCACATAACTTAAATAGCGCGATGATCGTGCTTTGGCTGATAGAAATCTGAATTCCTCAAATAGTAAAAGATACTGAAATTCGCGGGATAACTTAACAGTTTGAAAACCCGAAGTAAACTACTAGACGCGACGAATACTCGCTCAATCGATAATATAGAATTTATTCGATTCAAAGTGCGATGTTAGAAAAATAAATAATTATACAGAGTGTAGCTAATCAGGGTTTCCATACAAGTTTTGAGAAATTCCGGACATGTGAGTCGAAAAATAAATCTTGAATTTATTTACGTAAAGTTTGTCTCAAAATGACAGTTGTTGTCTGCCAAATAAATAAATAAATAAATAAATTGTTATTAAAGTATACGAGCCCTGACAACTAAATGTTCGGACAAACAAAAATTTATTAAAAACCATGTCATCCACAGAATCAAATCCCTCAAGTGGCAATGGGCAAGATATCTGGCAAGAAGGACGGACAACAGATGGACCACAAAAATTACAGCATGGTACCCACAAGAAATTAAGAGACATAAAAGAAGACCAAACCTGAGATCGGACCATCCTCCTCCTAGGTGCCTTCTCTGTTGAGGTTGGCGATTAATATGGCATATGACTTACTGTCCAGAGCTTGGTGAATAAGGATGTTTCCGTCGCCGTCGGTGTGGGTCCAAGTCCAATCTCTTATGTTACGTAGCCATGATTTCTTTTTCCTCCCTATGCATGCTACGTTTTC